CTTTTACCAGCATATTTTTTAATCATTCCCTCCAGTCAGTGAGAAAATCCGATGGGGTTTGACAATTTGTTTAAGAGTAGGCTCTGTGAGGCTGTATTAGGCAATGAGCTAAATGCTAACATTAGCTTGTTAACATACTTGCGATTGCAGTGCTAACATGCAGATGTTAGGGAAGAGATGGTATCCTTTGTAGTTTAAACTCTCTTGGACGGACAACAAAATGTAAAATGTTTCACGCAGAACATACTTTGGTCACAATTCTTTGATAACCAAATGAAGTTATTTTCATCAGTGATATTTGTTTATGTTGAGTGTTTACGTCACCATACTAATTTTCAAGGTTCTAAAAGGTTCTTTCAGCTCATTGTTGTGTGCGTTTCCACCGTGGTCTAAAGACTATTAGACAAATTAGTCTGCTGACGTTATGTTCTTACTCTGACGTACACTGTACAAAGCGTCAGACAAAGATCATTATTTATGCAACAGCACGGTAACAATGGGAGAGATCCAAGATGTGCTCCTGTTGATTGTAATTTATCGGTTTGCAAATGTGGTCATTGAGTCAACGGATAAAAAGAAACAAGCAGTAGAAGCTAAGCTTATTCAAAATCCCAGAAATGCTAGACTTAAAGCAAGTAGCCTCTACTCGACCAATCAGAAATGTTTAGCACTGCAAGCCCCACCCCCTAAAGATATGGTAGCAGGGACTTTTTGTGGCAGAATAAAGTCCCCGGAACTTAATTTAGACCCTGGTCCCTACTGTGAAAACACTGTGTGTGATTTTCAGTCAAATTAGACAACTTAAAGAGGTCATATTATGATTTTTCCTCTCTCCTTTCTTGTGTTATAAATCTTTTTTGTGCATGTAATTGGTTTGTAAAGTCCACCTCAAAGGGAGTTCCCATCCCCCACTGAAAATACTGCTCCTGAACTGCCTGAAAACAGCTGGATTGTAGTCCAGCCTTTACTTCAGTAAACTATCTGCGTCACTATGTAACACACGTCATAAAGCTCGCCTGGCGGCTAGTGTGGCACGCCCTCAAAAACACTGGTGGAGAAACACACTGAGGTGCAGCACACACAGTACCTCCCCTCACCCCTACCCTCCCTACTGAACGTTAGAGACCCTCCAGGCCGTCAGTGGACACAAAGCTGTTACTGTGATGTAGAGATAGTGCACAGTTAAAAGGTTACAGATTCATAACATACTTCTGCCTGTGTTCGGGATCAGACTCCGGTTTGAACATGTGCAGCTGAACCAAAGCCATTTGGTTACTGAAAGGCTTTGTTTTGGATCACACTACCTTTCTTGTCAGGACCCACGCTACTCTGCTTCTGATTGGCTAGTAGTCCTTACCTAGGTCCTGTGCATGTGCAACATCCAACAAACAATAGTGAGATGCTGCACTCGGTAGCTAAAATGAAGCCTTCAACACAGGGTGAAAAGAGGAGCTGCAGCAATATGCAGTATGAAAAATATGGTGTTTTTTGAAAATTAAACCACGTAAACCTGAAAATGAGCATGATATGACTTCTTTATAATATAAAGCAAAGTTACAGAGCACATCAAGAGGAAAAGTGTTTTTAGTTTCTTAATAAGATGTGTGTGTGTGTATGTGTGTGTGTGTGTGTGTCAACATCTGCTGCTGAGTAGCTGCCTAAATAATTGCAAGCTGTGAAAGCTGAAATGAGTTTCTTGAAGATGGCGGTTTGACACATTGAGTGTTCTGCAGGTACATCCAGAAATAAAAAAAGGCTATTTATTTTCTGTCTGCAGATGAAAAACAGCAGAAGAAAGCGTTTGTGTTGTTGACAACACAGAGAGGATATTTTCCTCTGACTTTTTCCTTTTGGATAGAGATGACAGCAGCAACACTCCTTCGGCTGCACGGTTTTGCTCGTGGAGTGTTTTAAATGACACTCAAATATAGATTAAAGTCAGACTGCACCATGAGCGCAGCGTATGTTCGGCTGCTGGCTGTTTTGAGGGTGGACTGCAAACTACGTGAGCATGAAGACGTGTGTGTGTGTGGGTTTGTGTGTGTAAATGCTGGTCTGTGCTGTTTCTGAACTAAGCTGCTGGAGATGGCATTTTAGCATGCACGGCAGAGCGGTTTGCCTGTCTATGCATTTCTTGTTCCCCCTTCCCCTTCACGCGGCTCCTGTCATGCTGAACAGTCCTGTCTCTCCACTACATCGTCTTATTGTGGATGTGTGCATGCTCAGATTTTACCTTGTGTACGGCAAGCCATTTTAACATTTAGTCCTCAATACTTCCTAGTCACTATTTAAAAGATACTAGTACTTATTATTATTTCTAGTAACTATTCCATTAGATACTAGTACTTAAATTTTTGTTTCTAGGAACTAATTGCTTATTTTTGCCATTGAAATCTATGGGTGTCACGCATGGCCGTGTTTTCAGGCAGGAACAGGTTTTAGGACCCAAACGCAGGACACAGAGGCAGAACAGGTACAGTTTCTGAGCATTTATTTAAGCCAACAAAACTTACGGCAGAGTCCAGAATTCAACAAAGGTAGTCCACAAACGGAGGTATTCCAAACAAGCAACAGAAATTCTAAGTCCATGGAACAGAAAGCAAAGTCCAAAACAATCGAGCAGGTAATACTCCAACAAGCAACAGGGATCAGGAACAGACAGGTAACAGGCAGACACATGGCGAGAAGACAGACAGACAGACAACAAACCAGCAACAGCTGAACAGAAGTGACACATATTTAAGCACAGGCTAACGAGCAGGGCGGGAGCACAAACAGGTGATACTAATAAAGACAGCAGACAGGCAGGCAGAGAGACAGCAGGGGAAAAAGGATAGATACTAACAAGTTGCAAAACACAAGGCAAGAATCTAACTGGAACTCAAAACACAGAACAGACAAACCAAACTAGACAGGAAACAGACTAAACAGCAATAAAGGCACAGCGTAGACTACAAACTAATACAGATGGACTACAACATAACAGTGAAAACAGACTGAGAACCAACACAACAGTCCTCACAAGAATAAACAAGGTGAAACAGTAGAACATAAGAGATGGAAACAAAACACATACTAAATAACAGATACTGAAAAGACCAATAAACAAAACTCACAGAGACCTAAACTGAACCGGGCCGATCAGACAGGCAGTGTGACTATGGGGCTATATTCATCATCTATTCAAATAGGTAACTATTTCTGTTTTACTAGTATCTATTATTTAGAGACTAGTACTTATTCTTTAGTAAGTAGTAACTATTCCAAAAGACTATAGTAACATTTTTATTCTTACTAGTATATTTTGGTTATTAGTAATTTATTAATGGCTAGTAAAATGGCTTGTTGATAGCAGAATTTCAATTCTTACTGGTAAGAATGAATAAGCACTATCTAAATAATAGTGATAAGAATAATGGAAATGGTTACTAGTAGCTAATTAATAATGTAATATCTGAACTGCAGAGCCACAAACATTTTATAGCAATTTGCAATTAGTTACTAGTAACTAAAAATGTATATTTTCAGTTGTTACTAGTAAAACGGCAATATTTACTACTAACAAATGGAATACTTGTGTGAGTAATAAATAAGTACTTTTAGATAAATTAATGGCAATTCCTTAAAACTTACTAGTCGTTATCTAAAAGCTAGTATTTATTAGGCATTACTAACTATTCCATTAGTGACTAGTAACACCCGAAAAGATACTAGTACTTTATTTTTACTTAACTATTATTTTGCTTCAAGTAACACATTTTTGCCATTTAAATCTATGTCTAATCTATTAGTTACTAGTAACTAACTGAATAGCCTAGTTACCAGTAACCATTTCCATTTTATTATTCTATTATTTAGCTACTAGTGCTTTTGTTTAGTTACTTGTAACTTTTCCATACTTGCTAGTAAGTATTAAAATGTTACTATCAACAAGCCTTTTTACTAGTAACTAGTTTCACCAGTAACCAAAGAAAATTTACTAGTAAGACTTTAAATGTTAATAGTTAGTAGTTTTAAATAGTTACTAGTAACTAATGAATAGGTACTAGTATCTAAATAATATATACTAGTAAAAAAGAAATAGTTACTAGTAACTAATGAATAGGTACTAGTATCTAAATAATATATACTAGTAAAAAAGAAATAGTTACTAGTAACTAAAAATAAAGAACTAGTATCTTTTCAGTTGTTACTAGAAAAACGGGAATATTTCCTAGCTTTTAGATAAATTAATGGCAAGCCATTTTAACATTTATTCCTTAAAACTTACTAGTCGTTATCTAAAAGCGACTAGTACTTATTTATTAGTCTCTAGTAACTATTCGATTAGTGACTATTCCCATTTTACTAGTAACAACTGAAAAGTAATTGCACATTTTTGCCATTGAAATCTTGTTGGCTCTCCAGTTAGTAACTACTACTATTCAACTAGTAACTAATTGAATAGTTACTAGTAAGCATTTTAATTTTTTTAACTACTAGTGCTTCATTTTAAGTTACCAGTAACTGTTCCATTCTTACTAGTAAGAATTAAAATGTTACTATCAACAAGCCATTTAACTAGTCTGAATGACTGGTAAGTAACCCAAAAAACATTCAAGTGTTACTAGTATCTTTTGGAATAGTTACTAGTAAATAATGAAGATCTGATGTCTGAACTGCAGAGCCACATAGATTTCAATGGCAAAAATGTGCAAAGGAGTTACTAGTAAATAAAAAATATTCCCTAGTACCAAAAAATGAAGTATCTAATTAATTGTTACTAGTAAAACATGAATAGCTACTAGTAACTAAAGAATAAGTGCTAGTAGCTTTTAAATAGTGGCTAGTAAGTTTTGAGGAATAAAACAGCCTTTGTGTGTTTGTGTGAATGGAGGAGGTAAGCTCCACTGCTGGCTAGATAACCTCACTCCTGATAAGACCAGCCCGACTGGGACAGAACCACACAAGATTTAAAGATTAAAGATTTATTTTCATCCCGTGTTTTCCCCTCTTTTCAGATAGAGAAGTCACAGCCACAGCCGCCCCTTCTACTGAGTATCCGGTGGTGACACCAGGGAGCACAAAGGAAAGCAGCCCCAGAGGTAATATCTCCAGTGCAATGGCTGGAGGTTTGCTACAGTCTGTGCTGACTCAGAAAGGACGACTTCTCTCCCAGAAAGGGGAGATCCTCCCGTCTTCTCTCCCCCAGAACCTGCTCCCTCTTCTGGGCAGAGGACTCAGCGTCAGCTCCCTCCCTGGAAGTCATTCCCTGGAGCATCAGAGCGGGGGATCACCGAGGAGGGTAAAACCCCCAGCATCAGCTGCAGTGTCAGGCCGAGGCAGCGATCCAACTGAGCCTCTTCCTACAGACACACACTCCCAGCTGCCTCACACTCAGACACGCCCCCCCGAGCAGGAGGCGGAGATCACCACTGCGGGCACGATGCTGGACGTGGACACTGAGACGGGAACACCCTCAACAGGTAGGAGAAGCCACCGTGTAGTTTGACGAATGCACACTATTCTTAGTTTAATTCACATCTTACACAGTGGTGCAAAGTGACTAAGCACATTTACCCAAGTGCACAATACTTCTTTTGACCCCACAACAATTCAGAAATCAGTCTTGTACTTTCCCGCCATGCTGGCAGCTCTATAGACGGCCGGCCTGTCAGTGGGTCCACCACTTTGTGTCCAGACTGAAATATCTCCAGAACTATCAGATGGGTTGCCATGTGGTGTCCAGAGAGGGAAACCTAATTACTGCAGGCTTGTTTCCTCTGGCTCAAAGGTCTCAAAAACTATTGGATGGACCAACTTTTAAATGTGTCCAACACTTTGGTTTGTGATGAAATACCTGCAGAACTGATGAGATTCCCATGAGCCTCAGCTGTACTCTGTGTTTACTGCTAATTAGCTAATGTTAAAACATTACAGCTGCTAAACATCAGCATGTTAGCATTTAGCTCCAAGCACCGCTGTGTCTGTTTAGCCTCACAGACCTGGAAGTCTTGTTACTTCATTTATCTGACAGCTGCATTCACTGTTTACTTTGTAGAATTAGATGTTAAATAACTAATGATCAAAACAAAACATGATCGATTCTTACATCCTGCTTACATTTTCATTTATATATATAGTTCAAGTTTAGTGTTTTAATTGAAGTGGGATATAACAAGACGTTTGTTTTGGTTTGTACTTGGGATGTCACGAGAACCAATACTACGGTACCAAGTCAACACTCAAATTCATCATGTCATTCATTCATCAGTACTTGTTTTGCTGGGGACCAAAGATATCCAGGAGATCCAACACGTGGAAGATATAGCTACGAGTGCAGCTACAGCGACAGCTCCGCCTCGACTCGTCGAATATAAACGAGTGTCAAAGCCTCGATTGCCACATTTCACAGTTTGGATCAACTCAAAATCACCAAAGATGAAGATGCAGTTTGCTGCTCTAAGAACTGAATGTCTGTCCAACACACCTGTTCCTGTAGGCGGAGTTAGGGACCGTCTGAAAAGTGCAATACGATCTATTTCATTCATCAATAATTGTTGTGTTTTTCAATACAAAAATCTCAGACAACTGCCAATATAGATAACAACCAGAAACATTTCACAGCTGTGAGTTTGTAAAGAAAAGTTAGGAAAATGAATGAATTAAATAATTAAATATAGACAGCTTGATCTATGAATATATTGACATCAAACCACCTCTCATCTGTCCTGGACATCCTCTCACAGGTTTCACAGCTGTTCTTTGTAATGTTTTTTTAGTAAAAGTAGTGCATGTAGAAGTACATTGATTTATTGTTTTGTTTCTGACCGTGGTATCATGGAATTTTACTGGTATCGACTATTGAATTTCTGGTATTGTGACCTCCCTATATTATATATTACTATATAATAATACTACTTTACTAGAATTTTGTGATATATCTATACATATATAGATATAGATATAGTTGCACTACTAGACTTAATTTTCACAATTAATTTACACAGTCAAAGGTGTTTTAGTACTGTATCTTTTAAAGTCATGCCTCTTATTTTATTGATTTATTTTTAATTTCATTTCATTAAAATATGGCTCTTCCTGTCTCTGTGCTGATACATGCCAATATCGCCTTGGGGATCAATTAATTGGAGTAAAAAGTATAATACTTCCCTCTGAAATGTAGGATGTAAATTATTCCACCACTGTACTTAAATAACATCTGAACGCAGGAGTTTTACTGGCAAAGGACTTTCTTTACATCATGATACTACTAGGGTCTACTGAAATCTGTTTATTTCAAGTCACCGTTACCAGCCACAAATCCTCGCTGTGCCTTGCGTCTGCTGCGTAGCCGTTTTGATCCCTGTAATTTCCGTCATTAATTATACACAGCAGGCTTTCCAATGAGTTTCCAGTCAGGCTCACATTAAAGGGATTACAAGGCAGGGTTGAGAACAAAACAATAAGGCCACTGCAAAATAACCTCCTCTGCTCTCTCCTCAGCTTTGTCGAGCTGCATGGTGAATTTCTCAGACCCAGAGGGATACATCGACTCCTCTGACGACCCCCCTCTGCCGGACGGCACCTTCTTACACTGCACCTACACAGTGACCGTGTACACCGGCTACGGCGTGGAGCTGCAGGTACAAACATCCAGCAGCACGACTACAACAAACACACACGTAGACTCACTGGTAATCGTGCTGAGCATCATTGTGTTGTAAGGTACTGCTGTGTTTATGCCTCATTGGTTTTGATCATGAGGATGCGTCTGATGGGATCTCAGGCTGAACTCTGCCTCCTAGTGGCAGCTGTTGTTGGTACTGCTCCATTTTCTTTAACTCTACACAGGTGCATCTCAAGAAATTTGAATATCGTGGAAAACTTCATTGTGAGCACCAGAACCAGACTGAGAGATTAAAGGCTCAGGAAACCTTTGCAGGTGTTTTGAGTTAATTAGCTGATTAGAGCTCTTCTCAGGTCGACATTCCTGTATAATCAAGTCTTTATTCTACTGGAGTTTTGATTTCTATGAGCTGTAAGTTGTAATCATCAAGATTAAAACAAACAAACAATCAGAAAAGACTTTAAGTATTTCACATTATGTGTAATGAATCTGGAATATATTAAAGTTTAACTTTTTAAATGAAATTACAAGAAAAACACACTTTTCCATGATATTACATTTTTGTTTAAATGCACCTGTACTGGGTTACATTTCAGAGGGAAATCTTGTACTTTTTACTTCATTACATTTATTCAACAGCTTTAGTAACTAGTTACTATTCAGATTTTTCATTAAAAAACATATGTAAATAATTAAAGTTTATTTACATAGAACCTTTCATGGACAAAGAGGGGCCACAAAGTGCTTTACAGTAAAAAATTAAATAACTAAACCTTATTGCTAATTAGCTTGTCTAAAAAGATGTGTCTTTAGGTTGTTTTTTTTAAAGGTTTCTACAGAATCGGGTCTTGGCCTGCAGACCTCAGAGAGTGGCCAGAGGTGTGTGTGTGCATGTAATAGATCTTGGATGTAAGAGGGAGCTTGACCATGTAAGTACTGATTTTAAAGTGCACTCCAAAACCAATCGGAAGCCATTGAAGGGCAGGAATAATGATTATGATGTGAATGATATGAGAAGCTTATAAAATACAGCACATTGTTAAGGAATAACCAGTGGTTCCCAAACTTTTACTTTGCTTGTGAAATCTTACAAAATCCTGCGTGCAGTCTTGTCATGTTTCAGATGTCTGAGTTGTTAGCAGTTCCACCAAAGACACATTTCACCTCTGAACCTTATTTGACTTTGATTAATTATATGATTGATTTTAATCCAAAGAGGTCAGAGTATCCAACGTTTTACAAAAAATTAAATATTAGAGTGCATTAAGAGATTTAAACAGATTTGTGTACCAGAATTTATGTTTTCATCTCACGACCCCTCAGATTTATCTGGTGACCCTTTGGAGGGGCTTGACCCCTACATTGGGAAGCACTGGACTAAACTAGCTAAATGTATTTGTTGTTGTGATGTTAGCTATAGTAGCAGGAGAGTTGGAGCTGGAGCTGGAGCTGGTGTGCTGCTCTGGGACCGTCTCGTCCTCTCTGTATGTTAGCTCCATGTTAGCTCCATGTTAGCTCCATGTTAGTTTCATGTTAGCTTCATGTTAGCTCCATGTTAGTTTTATGTTAGCTTCATGTTAGCTTCATGTTAGCTTCATTTTAGCTCCATGTTAGTTTCATGTTAGCATCGTGTTAGTTTCATGTTGGCTTCATGTTAGCTCCATTTTAGCTCCATGTTAGCTTCATGTTAGCGTCGTGTTAGTTTCATGTTAGCTTCATGTTAGCTTCTTATTAGCTCCATGTTAGTTTCATGTTAGCTCCATGTTAGTTTCATGTTAGCTCCATTTTAGCTCCATGTTAGCTTTATGTTAGCGTCGTGTTAGTTTCATGTTAGCTTCTTATTAGCTCCATGTTAGTTTCATGTTTGCTTCGTGTTGGTTCCATGTTTGCTTTGTGTTAGCTTCATGTTAGCTTTGTGTTAGTATCATGTTAGCTTCATGCTAGCTTCTTGTAAGCTCCATGTTAGTTTCATGTTAGCATTGTGTTAGTTTCATGTTAGCGTCGTGTTAGTTTCATGTTAGCTTCATGTTAGCTTTGTGTTAGTTTCATGTTAACTTCTTGTTAGCTCCATGTTAGTTTCGTGTTAGTATCATGTTAGCAGTATGTTAGCTCATGTTAGCTTCATGTTAGCATCATGTTAGTTTCATGTTGGCTTCATGTTAGCTTCATATTAGCTCCATGTTAGCTTCATGTTAGCTTCGGGTTAGTTCCATGTTAGCTTCATGTTAGCTTCTTGTTAGCTCCATCTTAGCTTCATGTTAGCTTCGGGTTAGTTTCATGTTAGTTTCATGTTAACTTCTTGTTAGCTCCATGTTAGTTTCGTGTTAGTATCATGTTAGCTTCATGCTAGCTTCTTGTAAGCTCCATGTTAGTTTCATGTTAGCATTGTGTTAGTTTCATGTTAGCGTCGTGTTAGTTTCATGTTAGCTTCATGTTAGCTTTGTGTTAGTTTCATGTTAACTTCTTGTTAGCTCCATGTTAGTTTCGTGTTAGTATCATGTTAGCTTCATGCTAGCTTCTTGTAAGCTCCATGTTAGTATCATGTTAGCTTCATGCTAGCTTCTTGTAAGCTCCATGTTAGTTTCATGTTAGCATTGTGTTAGTTTCATGTTAGCGTCGTGTTAGTTTCATGTTAGCTTCATGTTAGCTTTGTGTTAGTTTCATGTTAACTTCTTGTTAGCTCCATGTTAGTTTCGTGTTAGTATCATGTTAGCAGTATGTTAGCTCATGTTAGCTTCATGTTAGCATCATGTTAGTTTCATGTTGGCTTCATGTTAGCTTCATATTAGCTCCATGTTAGCTTCATGTTAGCTTCGGGTTAGTTTCATGTTAGCTTCATGTTAGCTTCTTGTTAGCTCCATCTTAGCTTCATGTTAGCTTCGGGTTAGTTTCATGTTAGTTTCATGTTAACTTCTTGTTAGCTCCATGTTAGTTTCGTGTTAGTATCATGTTAGCTTCATGCTAGCTTCTTGTAAGCTCCATGTTAGTTTCATGTTAGCATTGTGTTAGTTTCATGTTAGCGTCGTGTTAGTTTCATGTTAGCTTCATGTTAGCTTTGTGTTAGTTTCATGTTAACTTCTTGTTAGCTCCATGTTAGTTTCGTGTTAGTATCATGTTAGCAGTATGTTAGCTCATGTTAGCTTCATGTTAGCATCATGTTAGTTTCATGTTGGCTTCATGTTAGCTTCATATTAGCTCCATGTTAGCTTCATGTTAGCTTCGGGTTAGTTTCATGTTAGCTTCATGTTAGCTTCTTGTTAGCTCCATCTTAGCTTCATGTTAGCTTCGGGTTAGTTTCATGTTAGTTTCATGTTAACTTCTTGTTAGCTCCATGTTAGTTTCGTGTTAGTATCATGTTAGCTTCATGCTAGCTTCTTGTAAGCTCCATGTTAGTTTCATGTTAGCATTGTGTTAGTTTCATGTTAGCGTCGTGTTAGTTTCATGTTAGCTTCATGTTAGCTTTGTGTTAGTTTCATGTTAACTTCTTGTTAGCTCCATGTTAGTTTCGTGTTAGTATCATGTTAGCTTCATGCTAGCTTCTTGTAAGCTCCATGTTAGTTTCATGTTAGCATTGTGTTAGTTTCATGTTAGCGTCGTGTTAGTTTCATGTTAGCTTCATGTTAGCTTTGTGTTAGTTTCATGTTAACTTCTTGTTAGCTCCATGTTAGTTTCGTGTTAGTATCATGTTAGCAGTATGTTAGCTCATGTTAGCTTCATGTTAGCATCATGTTAGTTTCATGTTGGCTTCATGTTAGCTTCATATTAGCTCCATGTTAGCTTCATGTTAGCTTCGTGTTAGTTTCATGTTAGCTTCATGTTGGTTTCATGTTAGCTTCATATTAGCTCCATGTTAGCTTCATGTTAGCGTCGTGTTAGTTTCATGTTAGCTTCTTGTTAGCTCCATGTTAGTTTCATGTTAGCTCCATCTTAGTTTCATGTTAGCTTCATGTTAGCAGTATGTTAGCTCATGTTAGCTTCATGTTAGCATTGTGTTAGTTTCATGTTAGCATCGTGTTAGTTTCATGTTAGCTCCATGTTAGCTCCTTGTTAGCTTCATGTTAGCTTCATGTTAGCTTCATGTTAGCGTCGTGTTAGCTTCATGTTAGCTTCTTGTTAGCTTTATATTAGCTTCATGTTAGTTCCATGTTTGCTTCATGTAAGCTCCATGTTAGTTTCATGTTAGCTTTGTTTTAGTTTCACGTTTGCTTCATGTAAGCTCCATGTTAGTTTCATGTTAGCTTTGTTTTAGTTTCACGTTAGCTTCATGTTAGTTCCATGTTTGCTTTGTGTTAGCTCCATGTTAGTTTCATGTTAGCTTCATGTTAGCAGTATGTTAGCTTCATGTTAGCTTCGCAGCAGCAGCTGTAGCCACAGTTTACTAACCGCCAACATTAGTTACATTACATGCTGCAGTGTTGTTCACTCTGTATCAAGGAGTTTGTCATGGTGTTTAGATTTCAGCTGAACTGCTTACTCCACCTTTGAGTACATTTTACAGCTAAAACTTCTCTACTTTAACTTGTAACAGAGGTCTGAACACTTCCACCACTGCAGTACTCAACAGTATTGCCAAAGCAATGACATGACATATAATTCCAAAAATATAACCTTTCTGCAACAGCAGACTAAACATTTCAGCCATTTGACCCGAGCCTGATCCCCAGTTGTCACACGTCATTAACCTCTGGACTGGGTTTTCAAAATAAAAAAAACTAGCATTCGACAGCTCCTGATGCCCTGTCTAGAGCTCCTGTGGATACAGCAGACGGTCAGTTTCCCATTTGTGCCGCGGTTTAACCAGCCAAGAGAGAAATGTCCAAGGATCTCCATTTATCGGAAGAGGCCATCTGGAAAGCTCAGCAGGCTGACGCTGAGATCCTGAAACTGTATGAATCCATACTAGGCTCTGGTGAACAGCCAGAGGATGAAGTTATGGGATCGTCATAAATCATTCAGCGGATCACCTAGGAAGATACGACACGCAGTGGCGGACAGTAACTAAGTACATTTACTCAAGTACTGTGGTTAAATACAAATGTGTACAGTACAAAAACTTGAGGTACCTTTACTTTACTTGAGTATTTTCTATTCATGCCACTTTCTACTTCTACTCCGCCACATTTCAGAGGGAGATATTGTACTTTTTACTTCACTACATTGATCTGACAGCTTTAGTTACTTTACGAAGTAAGATTTTTACACACAAAACATATCTACAGTTTATAAAATAGGATGTTTCATTATGAATTAAACTACCCAACAGTTTATACAAGTACAAAAAGTTTAGTCGGAAATTTAATAAAGAAAACTATTTTTGATTATTTTGGTTTCTATTATTTTTCATGGGAAAACATTGAATTCATGGTTCCAGCTTTACAAATGTGAAGTTTTGCTGCTTTTCCTTTGAAATTTTTAAAAATAATTTGAATGTAGTGTTAACGTTGAGGTTGGGACACAATAAACTTTGTAAAGGTGTCACGTTGGGCTCGGCAGAATCTTTACAAACCAAACAATCAATTCAAGGAGAAACGAATCAGATGATTGATCCAGAATGAAAATAATTATTAGCTGCAGGCTGATACCAAACTGTTAAAAATGAGCTCTAGCTCAGCAACTACAGCAGTAACATCCTGCTTTACAGGAACAATAATCTCATGATAGAACATATACTAGTACATTGGTCACAGGGAACATTTTCTGAGTACTTTTACTTTTAATACGTTAAGTACAGACAGCATGGGTATTGCACAGGTGTGCCTTAGGCTGGCCACAATAAAAGGCCTTAGGCTGGCCACAATAAAAGGCCACTCCAAAATGTGCAGTTTCACTGTATTGAGGGGGTCCGGGGTGGTCCGGATCAGCATCTTGATACGCCACACCTGTGAGGTGGATGGATTATCTCGGCAAAGGAGAAGTGCTCACTAACACAGATTTTGACAGATTTGTGAACAGAATTTGAGAGAAACAGGCCTTTTGTGTACGTAGAGAAAGTCTCAGATCTTTGAGTTCAGCGCATGATGAATGGGGCAAAAACAAAAGTGTTAAGTTTATAATTTTGTTCAGTGTAATATATATATATATATATACACATAATAGAATAAAATCAAATAAAACCAGGAAAGCTCCTATTAAAGTGTTCTTAAAAAGGGACTTAAAAGAGTTCACTGACTCAGCCGACCTGATTTTGTCGGGCAGGCTGTTCCAGAGCCTCGTAGCCCTGACTGCAAACGCGTTGTTCCATTTTAGTTTGAAGTCGAAACTCTGTAAACATTTGTATGAACATAAAAAGATTCAACAACTAAGACATAAACTGAACAAAGTTTCACAGACATGTGAGTAACAGAAATGGACTTATGTGTCCCTGAACAAAGGGGGGGTAACAATCAGTAGCCTGTCAGGTGTTGTTACACGTGGTTTTCCACTGCGAGGACGATCAGCTGCAGCATCTCTCAGTACAGACATTGCTATTTTTTGCCCTGGCAACATCGGCAGTCCTCATGCCTCCTTGCAGCAGGCCTAAGGCATGTTCACGCTGATGAGTAGGGACCCTGCGCATCTTTCCTTTGGTGTTTTTCAGAGTCAGAAGAAGTTTTTGTAACTGTGAACTTAATTGCCGGCCGCCTGTACGCTGTTAGTGTCTAAACAACTGTTCCAAAGGTGCATGTTCATTGATTGTTTACGGTTCATTGAACAAACATGAAAAACATTGTTTACACCCTTTACAATAAATATCTGTAAAGTTTTTTATTTTATTTTTTTTTTACAGAATTATCTTTAAAATACAGTGTCATGAAAAAGGCACGTGTCTTTTTTTGCTGAGTTTATATTTGTAGAAGAAATTTTGTGAGCCCGGTTCAGGTGTGATGAAGAAGTTTCGGAGACTGATGAAGACTTAACTTGGTTTATTGAGCCCGGCCGCAGAGACACGGTGCCAGCGTACAACATGTGAACACATCGAACGCCAACACACCCTTTTGTGTTTCTGTCTCCCCACTTCTGCCTGTATGTTTTCCTCTTAGGTCATCTTTGACTGGCCTTAACCTAGAACAGCTAATCTCTCTGATGTTTAGACTCCAACGTCATACTGGAATCTATCACTGTCTATTAATTGTACTCAGTGAGTTCTTGTAAACATTCTTGCAAGAATCAACCTTGCCAGATTCCTAGCTCACCTAACGCCCGAGCTACTGTCTCTACTTTATGAATCCATCTGTCGTCTCCCTAACAAGGACAGTTACATGAGTGAAATAACTAGAGCTGGAAGGTCTGTGAACACCTGTAGGGTCAGATAATGACTCCAACCTGTCTTACCTTTCCCTGTTACATCAAATAAGCCCTCTAAGAATATTCTATAACAATATCTTTTTATTATTTCACTTTTCTAAAGCACTTTGTGACTTGCGTGTGAAAGGTGTATATTAAATAAACTATTTACTTACTGACAGTACTTGACTAACCTACTTAGTTGCGTTCCAGTGCTGCACAGACGGTAATATTCACAGTTAATGAGGTTAGAAGCTCAGCACGAGGAGTTATTGCATCGTTGAGGGTCGTTCTGTGTGGGTCTTTCTGAGTAATGGGAGCTAATAAGCAAACATCCCTTGATAGAATCTTGTCTCATTCACCACTGCAATAACCGAGGGCATAAAAAACTCATAACGTGGATACAATTTTGAAGAAAAAAAACAAAAAGTTGGGTAGTGTTTTATTTTAACTTGTGTCTTCCTGTGTGTCCAGGTGAAGAGCGTTAACCTCTCGGAGGGCGAGCAGCTGTCCATCAGGGGTGCAGATGAACGAGGCGCCGTGCTAGTCCTGGCCAATCACACGCTGCTGGTTGAAGGCCAGGTGATCCGCAGTCCAACCAACACTCTGTCAGTCTACTACCGCTCCACACCGGAGGGAAGCATGGGCCTCTTCCAGCTGCACTATCAGAGTGAGTCCAGACATGTTCACATGTACACAAATTCAAAAGCACCGTGACTAAAATATGAATATTCATACATACAAACGTGCTACACAGATTCAGTACCTGTGTGTTCTTCTGGGCTGTTTGTACTCTGTATTAATGTTAATTGCATAATCAAAGATCATCTCATCTAATCACTTAGCACTGTGGTGTCGTGTGAATTAGCTGATTAGAGCTTTGATTAATTGGCTCTCATCTCATTAGGAGGCTGAGATTAAGGGAGTGTGTATGTTTCTGTGTGTCAGCACATAATGGGTATGACAAGGACTGGAAAGGAGGAAGCATCAGAGTGTAAAGACCTACCTGAGCCATTAATCACAGCCATCTAATCCTTTTACAGGCAGGATATCAGACAAGAGAAGCACTGACTGAGATTAAAATACCTTTGCAGAGAGACATTTGTCCAAGAAGATGATTAAAACACAACGGCGTTAAGAGAATAATGACATAAACAGACCAGGGCACCGTTCTTCTTGCGGGGATAACCGAGTTATCCAGATTCGTCTGTTGACAATTTGACACAAGTCTGGATTTTTGGGATCCTCTAAGCTGGTTTAAAATCCATCTGGAACTGTTGTCAAGGCAGCGAGTACTCTGAAAACCTGCATACATACCTGCAAACTCAGAAGACATGAAAAAGGTCATGTGTTCGCCAAGATAAGAAATGTGATTTTAACATGCAAACGAAGCATTTTGGTACTACGACAACAAAGTAAAAGGGGAAGACAACATTTGCTTCAGGGAACAGTTGCATCCGTCAATGTTAAACGATCCGCCAGAGCAGGTGTTTCGGTTTAAGGAGCTAACACGATCACTCATTAAGCCAGACATTAGTTGGTTGGACATTTTATGCTTTTCCACATTTAATGACTTATCTACAGTGTTACAATGTTGGATGTTCATGTTAAACATGGCCAAAGCTTCAAATAATGAGGTTAAATTATTTATAAGTATTCCCTGCGAGCAATAACCTCAGATTTCGCTCTGTTTTGAACGTCTTTTTCTACTAACAGCTGTGTTACGGAGCCAGACGGAGCCGCTGTTCCATATATGGTCATTTGCTCCCACAGCAACGCTCAGTCTGCCTGTTCCGCCCAGCAACAACAACAGCCTGGTAACATGCTTCAGGTCTTGGCCAATCAGAAGACAGTGGGCTTTGAGAGGGGGGGTCTTAAAGAGACAGGAGCACCTACAGCTTGTTTCAGACAGAGGCTGAAATGAAGGCCTATAAGGAAATTGATTTTTTTGAACTTTGCTGCTATAAAGAAGTCACAGAACTAGGGCTGGGCAATAAAACAATAATGATAATTATCGCAATATAATTTTCCTCAATAACAATATAATAAATGTTTAATATATCGTCAATAAATATTTGGTTTAATTCATTTGAATCATGAACAAATAAGCACTAAATTTTTCTATTAAAATATTTATTTTGTTGAGAAAAAGGGACTGGAAAATAATTTACGTGTCATATTTGTTGAGAAAGATTTTATCATAATAGTTTTAAATGTCCTAACTCAGATTTGTGAAGTGATCCACTGTTTGGCCTCAAGTGTTTGTCACATTCTGGCCATAAAGAAAAATGTAACCACATAATTAACCATCTGGTTTCTTCTATTTACACTCAGGAGTAAAAATCAGCCTTTAAACTTGAAAGAAATAATGATTTGACATATATTGTGATAATTATCGATATCAAATGATATAAAATGTTTTTGTCGTGATAACATTTTCGGCTATATCGCCCAGCCTTACACAGAAGTGCAATATAGGACTGGAAAAGCAGTATAATAGGTCTCCTCAATGGCGGCCGTTAAAAATCCGAATCCGAATATGGATGCCGTGGAGTTAGCCTTAACTCTGCAAAATTATTATTATTAAGTTGGAAAAGCTTTGATAGGTTAACGTTAGGAAAAATAGATCACAACACACTTAAACTTGATTTGGCAAGTTAACGCTACTTTAGCAACAAGTTACCTAATATTAAGTTAAATAGATAATTACTAGATAAAACTAGACTTACCTGCAGTTCCCTCGAAAAGTTGCCATCAACGGAAGAGAAGACAATGCCGTTATCATTAAGTCTGATGGGTCAAATGACCCGAGATGTTTTAATGAGATTGTAATAGCTTCATGAAATGTCTATGGCCTCACTCTAGTCTATGGGAAATTGTGCTAACTCAACATCCTCTCCACCCTCCCAAAAACATTCTCTGGATCCACACGATTTAATCGAATGATATATTTTGATTCATTTTACGGCAGATTTCTGGTCTGTGAGTGTCTGACCTTGGCTGCAGATGGAGTGTGGTGAGCAGGTCAGGTGATGTTTCCTAAGGCAGAGAGATAACAGGCTGAGCAAGGCAGAAAAGCAAACAAGCAAGTTATTAAAATCAGTCAGCTGGAAACTCAACGATCCAGTGGGGGCTGGATGTTTGGTCCTACCTTATGAATGGCGGTTGATAGGAAGATGTCTGGTCAGGTGTGTGATGGCAGAATGATGTCAGGTGAAGATTGGCGGCAAAGTAAGGCGAGCCATCGGAAACGCCCACAACTCCAGTAAAAGATGAGAAAGAGAGGAAGAAAGAAACAGACAAAATGCACCAATCGCAATGCATTCATTCAAAAGGCAAAAGCTAAACTAAACTGTAAAAAGCTAAACTAAACTCGTAAACTAAAACTTGTTAAATGATGAGAAACTGTAGATTTACTGTTCATGCGTTATTTATCATTAAATTTCTTAACCAGATGATCTCACTGTGATTTAAAACCTCTTTTTCAAAACTGCAGCATATTGACAAAAAGTTACAAATGCGAACACCAAGCGCACCCACAACAACAAAGGACAATCGACACAGATACACAAACAAACACTATAACTTCAAGACTACCTAAAAACACAATCTGTACATAGGTTTAAATGATTTTATGATTTTAAAATCAGTGACAACAATTAATAGCCGAAAGAGATCAGGTGACTCAGCTGCAGGTTGTTCCAGGATAGCTAAAGGCCCTCTTACCAAACTCTGTATGGACCTCAGGTACAGATAAGAAATACAAGTCACTGGAGCACAAATTATAGGAACTGGTGTTGCGTGACATGTAAGTGCAAAGATGAGAGGGGAGCAGACCGAGGATAGACTGGTAAATAAAAGTAAGCCGATGTAAGGGCCTCCTCACTGATAATGAAGGCCAGTTTGTCATTTTGCATAACGTATAATGGTGCGTAGATGCTTTACATCCAGACACAAATCCTAATGCACTATGGTAGACAGTATACACCAAAGATCAACATCGGACGGTCAGGCGTATTTCTATAGAGCAGGTCACCGAGTGGAGTGAGAAAGGTTGCAGCAACCAATCTCTTTCTGGTTTTCAAAGAAACACAGGCCTCGTTTCTAAAAGAAAATCCTATTTTTAGTTTGAGCATTCATCATTTGTCTGGGCATTTCACCTAAGCTTACTGAAGAGTCTGGGGGGGGGGGGGTGCAACATAAAGTCATTAGGATTCATCTGCTGTGGGCAAAATTTCATGGCAATTCATCCAATAGTTGAAATATTACGTTGCCATTGCCGCTAGCATGGCTAGAGGAGTCATGTCTTCTGCTTCTGGACACACAGTATATGTGAGGAAAGATCAGCCTGAGGAGGGAATTGTAGTTAAAAGTCAACTAATAGATACACCTGCGTACATACAGTGATTTACAAAAGGTCAGCATAGGTTATAATTTTTCCTGGGTCCTGGGTTTGTTCTCACTGTATCTGTGGGTTTCCTCTAACAGTTCAAAGTCTGCTTAACTGAACCTGTAAAGGCCTCAGCGTGCTTCAAATGCAGTAGTTTGTATGATATGTTGTGCGACCTACCTGTTAAAACCTCACTCACTTACCCACCTCTCCATGTCTGCCCAGAAAGTGATCGTCACATCGTCAGCGTAGAGTAGAAGTTTGAGTCGTGTAGCTAGAAAACTTTTAGCATTGTATACATACAGCACGTGATGTCTCCCTCTGTGTTCAGTCTTCAGGCTGAGCTGTTCGCTGCCGAAGAGGCCTCACTTTGGGGAAGTGTCCGTGCTGGACCTGCTCCCTGGAGGGACCGCTCGCTTTCACTGCCACATGGGTTACCACCTGCAGGGGGTGCCGCTGCTCACCTGCCTCAACGCCTCCCTGCCAGTGTGGAGCGGGAAGGTGCCGAGCTGCAGGGGTGAGTGCTGTCGGTTGTTGCTGTAAAGGCGCTCAAAGAGTTCTCTGAGTTGTACCCCTCTTTGCTTTAAATAAGATCCTGCAGAGTGTTGGCTCTCCACGGCACTCTTAGTTGGCAAAACAATCTCACCACAAGTCCACTCAGTAGGTATCCTGGAGCTTTCGGTTGGATCACATGATCTTCTGAGTTTTTTTGTCACGCAAATGTTGAAGTTTTCCTGAAGCCCAAGGTGAAAAAGCAGCAAAGCAATACATTTAATAAGCAGGGAACACAGTAATATTTGGTATTTGAGCTTTAAAAAGCACTTCATCGTCTAATTGATCAACAAAATGGTCAATCGACTAATCAGTTCACCTTTTCATTCAAGCCCTTTTTATCCATGTTTGAAAGGTTGAGCTTTTTTAAACTTTATATGACAAACCTCAACATGTTTTCTTGTTAGTTTGTATTCCCAATATTCAGCATACTTGCAGGTGAGACAGAATGCTGTACATATACTTACAGATGAATAAATAAAAGTGAACTCCTCCCGTGTAGCTCTTTGTGGCGGCACAGTGAAGAACGCGACAGTAGGGAGGGTGCTGTCCCCGTCTCCCCACCATGGGCCTAATGCCACCCAGGACCGCTCCTGTTCCTGGTCTCTGGAGGCACCCAGGGACCAGAGGCTGCACCTCCACCTGGAGAGACTGGCCCTGGGGCCCACTGACAGGTAGGATTCCCCGTCTTTGTGTGACGTCTCCTTTGCCTAGGTCCATGAGCCTGAAGGTTTGTACCGTCTATTTTTATTCTTTTAGTGTCATTTTATTTCCAGCTGTTCAACATTAATATGCCATATCAAAGGTCATAATATATCCATGTTGTGTTTACTTTCAAAAGTTTTTTCCCCCACTGATCTCAAACATTTTTCAGTAGCTGTTTCCTTAGGGGATTAGCTTCATACCAATTTCCTGTTTAGCTTTCTTGCTGTCTACAAGCTACTTTTTGTTTATTATTCCTTGTATAGCCTCTCACCGTGTCACATATGATGGTGTGTGCTCAGATCCAATAACATTTACAGGATTTATTAAAGACAACAAAGTGCACAAACTCACTGCGGTATTGTCCAGAAATCCAAACGTAACAATACAACTTAAAATAAGGTTTCCAAAGAGAAACGTAAAGTCCAAATTCCAAAACATGAAACAAACAATAATCCACACAGGGAGGAGTAGGCAATAAATCCACATACATACAGGCTGAACCAACTGGCAGGGTTGCGGGCAGATGAACACAACATGGACGAACGATTTGAGAAAAGACTGAGTGGAAATCAATCAATGCCGACACACACGAGCATTTGAACAAACACATTAGGGAGAATGAAGACTAAACAGGAAACAAAGCCAGAAACAGACACAGATGTTTACAAAATAAAACAGGCAGACTTTTCCCAAACCCAGACACAGTGTTCCTAGTGAAGCATCACAGAACAGTGTATCCCATAATGTGTTTCATGGTTGCACTAGCCATGTTTCCATCGACGTTTTTTTAATGCACATTTTGAAGTATCGCATTAGAAAAGGTTGATGGAAAATAAATCCTTAATTTTGCTAAAAAGTTTTTACTCTCGCTTGAGGTGGTTTTTGCCGTTGTCGAAAAAGATTAAATGCGCTGAACGGGAGATGGGAACACTTTTTCTGAATAAGTTCAGACGCAGCGAACTTGTAACTCACGTCTGATCAGCTGTTTCTGCTGTCGGCATCTTGCCCGGGTGTGCAGAGTTCTGCACGCCTGGTAACGCTCATTTGTGCTGAGGAAAGAGGTTGATGCAAATCTGGGCAGGTAGCCTTCATCATCTGTTCTGCCGAATTATGCATTCACCTCTTAAAGGTCCTTTTCAGATCCTTTGCTCTGCACACTGATCAAACGGAGTTATCACCGCATATTTTTGCTGAATCTCAATGAATGCTGCTTCTACTGAGTGTAATAAAATATTAACAACTCTAAATGTTCATAAAATATATAGTTCGAGTCATTTATCACTGTTGATGAACCCCACAAAGGATATTAGAGCGTTTAAAAGCATTATTTGAAGGTGCATGCAATTCTCGGCAGGCATGCAAAACTCAGCATAACACCGGATATTCCCATAACGTGCGGAGACATGGCTGGTAGCAGTTTTCCCGCTTGAAACACATTTCTGAGGACCTCTCTCCGTTTTTCTAACATCAATGGTCCTCAGGTTCATGCGACTGGTTTTGTTTCTGGTTTGGAACCCATACGTTTTGTTTATTACAGCCATGTGTAACGTCAACTACTGACGTAACTACGCTCGCCGTAGCCTGGTTTATTCGCTTCAAACCAGCTGATGGAAACACACATAATTTGCAATTTCTTTATTTGTTCTTTTTTGCGACATTTCAAAAGTACGCTTAAAATTCGCATGACAATTAGATGGAAACATGGCTGCTATCATTGTCCTTTAGTTTGGTTTGTCTCAACACAGTTGCCTGTTTATGCCAAACTCTAATGTATTCACATCCACTCATGCACACAATCTTTCCATCCCTGCAGGTTGGTGTTGTGGAGCGGGCTGGACGCTGGCTCCGTGGTGCTGTTCGACTCGGGGCGGGGTGGACAGATACCCTTTGAGGGCGTGATCAGTGAAGGTCCAGCTGTAAGGATCCAGTTCATCACCGATCAGCCCAACCACAACACAGGATTCAACATCCGCTATGAAGGTACAAGAGCTACCGTAGATCTAATGGCAAACTGAAATTAAACCTCAGCAGCACAGTTTAATCGTACTAGATGTATTGTCATATTTCTTTAATTACAGTGTAATTATGTAAACAAATAAGAGAGGATTGCAAGACTCTGTGTTTCTGCTTACATCGTGCACTGCCAAGTCTTCTTTGGCGGGATTGTCAGGAAGAGGGCTGGTCGCTCGGCATAATCTGAGCTGAAGCTTTCAGAGTTCTGGCAACATTAGATTGTGGAGGGATGGAAAGATCCCTTCCAACATGTTTGTCCTCATCAGTGAAAAGAAAGAGATCTTTTGCATGAGGAAACCAGATTTAATGTGTGATTACAGCTACCAATCGTCTTGGCATCTGTTTATGGAAATTACACAGATGTATCGAAGAGAATGATTTAAAAATATGTACAATTCAAAAAGCCGCATGGTGCGACTCTAACAAGACACATTTTGATTTTAATCTGAAGAGGACTGAGCTTTCTGTCCGTCTGTGCTCTCCGTTCCACCTCCAGCTTTCGAGCGGGGCCACTGCTACGAGCCATACCTCCAGAACGGGAACTTCACAACCTCCGACCCGTTGTACGGGGTCGGAGCTGTGATTCAGTTTAACTGTGACCCGGGACACTCTCTAGAACAAGGCCCGCCTGTTATCGAGTGCATCAGTGCGAGGGATCCATACTGGAACGACACAGAGCCGCTCTGCAAAGGTAATACGGAGAGCAGGGGGTATCATGAATAATACATAATTCAAATAAATAAATAATGTAGTAGTCGTTGCATTAGTTTATTTCTGTCACAGAAATAAATAAGAAATGGTTTGACATGAAGTTAGAGACCACAGACTAAAACCTTTCTAAAAGATGAGCTGGTCGATGAGACAGAAGATAGTTCAGTTGTTAAAAGCTCAGTTAATGAAATTTAATTTAACCAGTGAGGGTAACTTACTGAAGAGTCCAAAGAGCAAAATAAATCCAGAGGAGATTTAAACAGAAATCTAGAGTGCACAAAAATATAAACATTAAGTTGGATAAGCTTTGGATTTTCGTGCACTCTGGAAAACACAAAGACACAAAGACATGGCAAAACCCAAAAGTACTGTTGTAGTACTCAAGACCGGTCTTGGTCTCGAGACCGGTCTTAAGACCACTTTTTGATGGCCTTGTTCTCGTCTCTTACTCGACCGCCTCTGTACTCGGTCTCGTTCTCGGACATTGAGGACTCTGGATTTGATTTCAAGACCTGTCAAGACCATAACTTTGGGAATATCAATAAATTGCTTTTGCACTGTCTGATTTATTTGTTTTCATCAGAACTTTGGATGTAAAACGTATTGCTTCAAATGCAACCAATAACCTTGATTAAAGATGTGCTGTTACAGCTAACTGTCACTGTCAATGGTAATAATATAAATAAAGAATAAAGACGCTTACATTGATTTCAGCTCAGCTTCAGAAGTGTTTGTATGTAAGTGTTTTAATGTGAATGTGGATCTTTCAGATCAGTGAAGTACCTATGATCTCGTTCCACATTTTATTGTGTGTCATGTAATGTGGGGAACTGGTCTTGGTCTTGACTGGGTCTTGGTCTCGACTTGGTCTCAGCCCCTAAAAGTCTTGGTCTTGTCTCGGTCTCGATAAACTCTGGTCTTGGTCTTGACTCTGTCTTGCCCTCCCTCGGTCTTGGTCTCGTCTTGGTCTCAGCCCCTAAAAGTCTTGGTCTTGTCTCGGTCTCGATAAACTCTGGTCTTGGTCTGGACTTGGTTTCTGTTTGGGCGGTCTTGACTACAACACTACCCAAGAGGGAGGTGACAAAAGGAGGCACAGGTGGACATGGACAGAAAATAAAGCTTAGACAAGACGCAAGAGGCAGAACACTACAAAATAAAACAGGAAGTAAAGCACACATAGACACCTGAGGCGGGATGTAGCTAAATAAAAAAGTAAACACAGAGCGAATGCACAACTGACCAAAACAAAACATAATCGAAGACAAAGAACGAGACCTCAGAGACAGAGGTGATTTATAAACTGAAAGAGGAAATACCAAAACAATAACATCAGAACAGGTGATATAACGGGGGATGTTCACCACCTCTGACTGTCCAGCTGCCAAAATCCAGACGGGAGAAGCTGTGAGTTGATAAAAAAAACTTTAATATTTCGGAAATCTAAAACAAGTACAGGCACAATCCAAAGTTCAAGTAATCTAAAACCAAAGGAAGTCCAACAAATAAGGCCACAACACGGAGAAACACAAAGGAAGAGGGCTGGGACGCTCGACCAGGAGACAGAGCCGAGCCCGCAAATGACCGGGGAACACACCAAGCAACCACGGGAGAGGAGGAGCTAACAGGGCACAGGTGGAATGGATCAGGGTGAAGCAGACGACCAGGCAAGCGGGAAAACACACAAAGGCAGGAAGTGTAGTGTTATTTATTTTCCTGCCAGACTTTCGACAACTCTGCCTTTGATTGGTTAGTACTTGTTGCCTCCGTTGGTCAGGGTTGGTTAAGGCTACGGTTAACCAATCAGAGGCAGAGTAGTGGCGTGAAGATTTGCTGAAAGTCTGGAATGAAAGAAAATAACACAGAGAGGTAGGCAACAAACAGGAAACACAGCCCGAATGACTAAGCAGTGCTTGAAGTGGGGCGGTACGCTCCGGGACCGGCACCTCGACATTTTACTCTTTGGCGTACCGGGACTCCTCCCGAGCTGCCGGTCGTCTGCCCTCTCTGGGCGCCACGTGACGCTCACCTGTTCCCGTTCTCACCTGCCCGCTAAACTCTGTCGGCAGAGAGAGACGAGGGAGAAGAGAAGCTCGGGTGCCTTTCAAGCAGCCGTGTGCTGAAAGTAGCTCGTCAGTGTCACTTGTCGTGAACCGACCAATCACAGCCTGGATGGGGCGGGACATTTAAAAATACTGACAGACAGGTGTCATTTACACTGAGGACGCTGGGGACTCCATCGCTTTTTGAAAGCTTTTGTTAAAAATGTTCTGAACAGCAACAATAAATCTTAAATAACAAATGAAACAATAAGAAAACAGGCAATGCAACTGAAATATAGAAGAAACAAATGTGCATCGTCCAAAGGCTGATTACTGCATTAGATTCATTTTATATTTTTACATTTTGAATTGTCACCTGCCACCTTAATTTTGTTCCCCTTCATATAAATAAAGACATTTCCACCATAAATTGGTGCAGAAAATGTGTTTAATGCTCAATAGTTATAATATTTAATAGTTTCACCTTAATGTGTCTTTCAAGCACTGTGAAAAGACGCTGGAGGAACGATATACCAAACTAAAATAGGAAATCAACACACTCAACACCCAAAACCACGAGCAAAAGGAGCAAAAAATATGTCTGTTTAAATCCTCCATATTTCGCTTTGGTTGCACGCTCTTTACTCTGCCGTCCTCCTTTCTGTCTGCAGCACAGTGTGGGGGCGACCTGACTGGTCCAGGAGGGGTGATTCTGTCTCCAAATTGGCCAGAGTGGTACGGAGAGGGAGAGGACTGCAGCTGGACGATACATGTCGGGGAGGACAAACGGGTGCTGCTTGATGTACAGCTGTGAGAAATACACCGACACACAATAAAAAACTTCAGCTCTGATCCGAACTTCGGCTCGATCAAGCACCAAATGTGATCATTAAAAATGTACGCAGGGAGTTTCAGTGAGGGGCCCAGTCTGTTGATATTCCTCTAATCCTGCTCATACTGAACCATTAAATTCGAAACTTGCCAACATTAGAGAGCATGCTTATAAGAAGGCCACTGCAGCTTTCACCAGAATATTCTGCCCTCGTCTTGATTCTCTACTTTTACCGGCTTGCTCCAGAGCTGGCCACGATACTAAATATAAAACCAAAGGGAGAGGCTTTATTCTATTTAAGAGTCTGTTGAATCTATGTTTTTGTTTGTAGATAAATACAGTAAGACGATCCAGGTGAAGATCGGTGCAGGCTGAATGCTGTGTATCATTTCACCCAGAAAGCATAGAGAAAAGATTATATAAAATCTCAACATAGCTGCCTCCTGAATTTGCAGTGGGAGTTTATTCCAAAGAGGGGGATCTTAATGAGAAAAGGCTCTGCCCAAAAATATATTTAAACTAAATTTAGGAACAGTTAAATAACCAGCTTCAAAAGAGCATGAAGAGTAAAAACACAGCAGCCAATTAATTTAAAGCCAGGTCAGAAAGAGGAAGGCAGCTCAAGCTTGATGTCTGTGAAGGTCATAGGTCAAGGGGAACGAGTATCTTCAACCAAGTCCAGTTGCTCTTGATTTTAACCTTCCTTGTAAAGCTCCAGCTCGGCAGTCAGTGATGGACGTCTGATAAAAGCCCTGGGAGGAGCACTGGACTGTGAGGCAGTTTTGGTGTAGTGGCCACACAATACCCAATCATTACAAAATTAGCGATTTAATCACTTTTCCTGAGCATCAGAAACAACCTGAAATGACTCTCTATGTATCAGAATTTGATCCATTCAGTCAGTAACATTTGGAAAGTCTGGAAGAGCCGTATAATTAAATGATTTTTATCATATTCATGAGCGCTGGGGGGAGCCAACAGGAAGTCAGCCAGCTCGGCCAGCGGACATCTTGAATGTGCATGCTCTAAACCGGCTCAGCTGGAGAAGATGATCTCTAAAGGACTGAGCATGCTCCAAGGGGCCAAAAACCCACAGGGACCTTTTCAGCATATGCACCCAGTGAGCAACTTCAGTACATCCATGCTTCTGACAAGAAGCTCTCTGGGAGCGATCACTGGCTGTTACGACAATATAAATAGTTGTGTGTCATCAGCAATTATAAACGCTATGCCAAACGTTTAGGATAGGATAGAGAGTTTTAATGAGATTTTGATGAGATGCTAGGTGGATTTTTTTAACCTTTAGACAGGCCTGCTGTTTCCCCCTGCTCAGCTTAGTAAGTAAGTAAAGTTTATTAAATCTAGCAGCTTTCACAGAACAAAGCCTAAAAGTGATGTGTAAAATAACGAAGTCATACATATTATAAGAGATGACAATAAAACAAACATAACAATGTGAAATAGTAATAAATAATAATCAAACAATAAAAACATAAGCAACAACATCATAAAAATTGTATAATAGTCAATAAAATAAATTGGTTGTAAAGCGCACAAAAACACACACGTTTGCCTACTTCAGACAGCAGATGGCGAGACAAAGGCGAGCTTCAATAAAAGTCTCCACCTGTTTTTAAAGGCGTCAGCAGAGACTAGAATAATAAAATAGAATAAAATAAAAGGCATAAAATAAAGTCAAATAAGATCAGGAAAGGCTCTCCTATAAAAGTATGTTTTAAGAAGGGACTTAAAAGAGTTCACTGACTCAGCCGACCTGATTTCCTCGGGCAGGCTGTTCCAGAGCCTCGGGGCCCTGACAGCAAACGCTCTGTCCCCTTTAGTTTTCAGTCGAGACTCTGGAACAGACAACAGACCTCTGCCCGAGGATCTCAAGGTACGTGCTGGTGCGTATGGGACTAAAAGGTCAGAAATATAACAAGGCGAGAGGCCATGAAGAGCTTTAAAAGTGATCAATAGAATTTTAAAGTCAATTCTAAAACATACTGGGAGCCAGTGTAATGAAGCTAAAAGAGGAGTAATGTGGTCATATTTCTTTGTTCTGGTTAAAAGCCTGGCAGCTGAGTTCTGGACAGTCTGGAGTCGATCAATAGATTTTTGGGTTAAACAGGTGAAAAGGCTGTTGCAATAATCCAGGCGTGATGAGATGAAGGCGTGTAAAATGGTCTCGGTGTCCTTAAAAGTTAACATAGATCGAATTTTAGCTATATTTCTAAGTTGATAAAAACATGATTGAACAAGCTTTGTGGTGTGCTGCTCGAAATTTAAATTACTATCAAACCAAACACCAAGGTTCTTTGCCACAGGCTTAATGTGATTTACTAGGGAAACAGCAGATGGCAGTATTTGATTTGCCATCTGCTGGGACCCAATGACAAGGATTTCTGTTTTGTCTGAATTCAGCTGGAGGAAATTATTTGACATCCATTTTTTAACTTCACAAAGGCAGTTGTTAAGTGAACTGAGCATTCCAGGGTCTGTGAATCTGACTGGAAAATACATCTGTGTGTCATCAGCATAAATATGAAAAGAAATACCATGTTTATGGATAATATGTCCAAGGGGAAGCAGATACAAGGAAAACAAAATGGGACCGACCCCTGAATAACACATCACACAGTCATTAATGTCTAAACTTCTGGCAACAAAAGTGAGTACACCCTAATTTGGACATTTTCACTTAGGGGTGTACTCACTTTTGTAGCCAGCGATTTAGACATTAACGGCTGTGTGATGTGTTATTTTGAGGGGACTGCAAATTTACACTGTTATACAAGCTGCACACTCACTACTTTACACTGTAGCAAAGAGTCATTTCTTCAGTGCTGTCACATGAAAAGATATAATCAAATATTTACTAAAATGTGAGGGGCGTTACTGTATTATAAATAAGTCAGGTAAACTTTTAAAAAAGTCAAGATTTAATGAGTACAATAACCAGTGTTTTAGTATCATCAGCCATTTCCTTTGAAAATCATGTTTATTCATTACATAAAAAAGTTTGTGGTATTAAATGGGTTTAACTACACTTCCTGCAAGCACTGATCCAATAACATGCTTCAGTCTACTTTGGTAGATTAATAACATATTTACAGATATTTCCATTTGTGAAAACAGTGCAAACTGCATCTTTAAGAAGCCTCTGCAGTGTGGTGAAACAAGCGTCTCTGTGGGGCGATAAAGACACGGCTGTGTTTACAGACTGTTAAACACTTCGCCTGTGGATGAATGCAGCATTTAGCCTTTGAGGTCATCTCGTCTCCCACACAGCCGGCTGTAGACATGACTGCACTGAGTCATCATAGCTTGTTCTGAGCTGATACCGCTGGCTTAACTTCTCCCTCTCCTCAGACTGAACATCAGCGACAGCGACATGTTGACCATCACTGACGGCGATGAGGTCACGACTCGTATCCTGGGGCGTTACGTCGGAGGAAGCAGCCCCTTCAAGCTCTCCTCCACCACCCCCGACCTGACCGTCACCTTCCACTCCGACCCTGCGGGGCTCGTCTTCGGCAAGGGCGAGGGCTTCATCATCAACTATATGGGTGAGCGTTCAAAACAGTTTGACATCAAACGGCAAGACCAAGGCCTGTTCTCACGTTACTGGGTAAACATATAAGTATGAATTAAATGATAAATCATGTGTCTATATTCTATAAGTTTCTTATTGTCAACAGAACCCATTAAAAGACTCAAACCAGCCTGAAAGATCATCACTGTGGAGTTACCATGCTTCAGAGTTTGATTCTTCGTCCCCTTGGCCCACAAACACCGGTGCAGATATTTTCCTTGGGCCCTTTGTTTGAAAGCAAGGACAGCGGCTGCCTGAACGCCAAATCTATCAAAGCTACGGCCACAAAATTCCCCCAACAGCCGAAATATTCTTAACCAGCTTACACTAACAAATCAAGACACAGAGAGAGACACTGTGACGATGAGCACAGAACTAAAGCACAGCAACTCATAGGTCTACAGGTCATGATCACGCAATCGCAGTTAGGCCTATTCGTCATTTATCAACCCAGCGGCAAAGCAGCCAGAGACGTTACACAGACAGGTGTAGGGATGCACCGACTGTTCGGCCACCGAAATTAATCGGCTGAAAATAGCATAAAAAGCACTTTTGGTGTTCGGCCTAATAAGTCAAAAGACCGAATAAATTTTACCGAACAATTATGGTGACATGTCAGCACTTCTTAGAAAAGAACCGCTTTGAGTGTTTCTGTCACTCGTTTATGAGAAGGCGATTAAGCTAGCTAAATTTGTAGTGCACACGTATTCAAGCCTTTACGGTAAATCCACTGAAACGGACCAGTGCGAGCTGACAGGCAGGTTAGAGATCCTAACCTTTATCCTGTCAGTTTGTCTCTTTACAAAGACAAGTGTTGCTATGTTTCATGTTATTATTATTATTATTATATATTATTTATCAAACTGGGTCGGACTGGATGGATTTAGCGCGAGGAGGAAACACGTGACAACGTCCAGTTTTTAAAATAAGGCGTCTATAGAGGATGGAAATGAGATTAATTGGATTATATTCACAGAAATGCATGTAATTTACTTTACCGGAACCTCTGGGGCCCCGGACCCCCCCACTATAGTCTCTCCAAATCCTGTGGGAAACACTGAGTAAAAAGCTCATTTTGATTATTTAAAAATCAAAATGGCAAAATACATGGAACAAATGTGAATCTACTTGTTCGGTATTCGGGAAAGTTTTTCATTATATTCGGTCCTACTTCATCCCTACTGACAGAGTACAGTAGTGCTCATTTTCCAACATCGAAGAGGTAACAATTAGGGCTGGGTCGATATGGCCAAAAATGTTATCACGATAACAACATTTCATATCATTCGATTACGCAAATTATCACGATATAAGTCAAATCATTATTTATTTAAGTTTAATATATATATATATATTGAACATTTATTATATTGTTATTGAGGAAAATGATACTGCAATAATTATCATTATTGTTTTATTGCCCAGCCCTGGTAACAATCTCAACTTACCTCCCTGATCTTACTCTAAACAGAAAGAAACCTGTAACTCTTATCAAAGATGACGTGAGGATATCCAGGCACGTTATCGCGCACGACAGGGAAAAGATCACTTGACAAACCAATTCCCAGCCACCCAATGTTACTTCATAACTTTCGAGAACAATAAAACAAGTTGGAGGAATAATATTTATTTTGCCTGCCTCAGAAAGTAGGTACTTACATCCACACAGACCTTCTGCTACGCTTCCACCTGCCTACCACCCAGGAACCAATGAGCTTGGAGCTGAGAGCCACAGACAGGAAGTCAGATTAACATTAGATTTGTTGAAATAAGAAGAACTTGTAGAACATCAGCAGCGTTCTCCTTTAAATAGATTCAGTTTTCCAGTTCAGTTTGAATTTGCCTTTTCTCCTCCTCTTCCCTTTATTTGTCTCTCCTTTCATTTCCCTCTGCCCTTATTCAATCACATCCTATTTGTTTCACCGTCTCACAGTGGCTCTCATCTAGACACAAGCCCAGCGTTTAACAAGCAGCCAAATAAGCTCACTTCCTCCTTTGTACACACACACGCAGGGATGCGCAGTGCTTCCCGTACCCAGCACCTGACTCCAATTTAGCATTGCACCGAGACACACTGTCCAATTTAGTTGTCGCGCTCCCGACACCACAAACTCACGCACATTTCCCAAGAGGACTAAATCAAGAAGACACAGCATGAATACGTAGGCTACTCTCTTTGATTATATATGTGTGTGTGCGCAGAATAAATTACCCACCACACACATTCACTCTGCTCGGAGAAGGAGAACCGAGTCAATAGAGAATGAATAATTAATCTAGAATCCTTCAACTTACAAATCCCTGTTGGCCTATTATATTGTACAGTGTAATGCAATACTGTGCGCTGCCCGATCGCTCATCAAATATACATATGCAGACACACTCTAGTCCCAACAGGAGGTTCCTATTTACGTGTCTGACTTGAAACAGTGTACATTTTATTAATGTTCTGTATTTTCGTCTCGGCTTGAGTGGATAGCGAGGCTGGTTTTGTTTTGTTCTAGCCTATTTTACAGTTGAGATATTATTGAATCCACAGAGCAACTAATGTGTCTGTAAATGTTTGAATGAAGAGGGAGAAACATAAACCGTCTGTGAGGGTGCATGACAGTAATCTCCAGCTGATGTGATTTAACTGCAGCGTTGTTTCTGGGCAGGAATTTCTTCAGTGTACGACGTGATTTTTCAGACAGTGAAACTTACCTTTCCACAGAGTAGTACACCGATTTATTATTTCACTCCTGTAACTGTCAGGACCGGTGACCAGAACTCAAACGCAGACCAGAGTTAGGTGTTCAAACAAAGGTGAATTTATTCAGAGATGCTTAAATAAAAACATCATGTAGGATTTTTTTAATTCAGAAACATTTCTTGTCACCATACGCAGGTTAACAAGGTAGCCCAAAGGTTATATTGTGTTTAATTAAAAAAAGTACAATTCAATACAACTGTTGTTTTTATTGAATTGTATTTCATCTCATACGAAAATCTTCAGCCAAAACAAAATAGCCGACATTAAACGAGGGGGATCACGTATCAAGCAACCAAGGCATTAAAGAAAAGTAGTTAAGACTTTATACATTTTAAGTGATTTAAATTCTTCAGACTATATAATGCTTCAGTATAATGTTTGATTTATATTGAAATGTTGTATTTGTGAATGTAATATTCTTCATAAAGGTTAAGATAAAGAGGTTCAGTTTAAAGAAGCATCAAAATGCAGCAGAACCAGAGACATTGTCTTTTTTATTCCACTCATTCTTCATCTTTGTCAAAAGCTGCTGCCTTTATTACCCACAATGCATCTCTTCCTCTAACAGATGGGTGGGAACGTAGCCTGTGTGAAAGAAGTGGACGTTGAGTCTTCATCTAACTATCAGCTGTCGATACCCTCCCAGTATTTTTCATAATGATCCATTTTATCAGTGAACTTGTTTTGACCTACCAGCTCAACAAAAAACTTATTTTTGATGACTTATTTGACTTGATTATTTGTTTTTTGTTTCCATTTGTGGTAATTAAAATAAAAAGATATTTTTTGATCGATCTGAAGGGAGGGTTGTTCCGCTCTCTTGGCTGTGGGCCTTATTAAATTCTGAAGCTCCATTGATTTTAAGACTGAACAGATAAGAGATAAGATGGCAAGAAAGTTTGAGCGGCACACTTTGAATTAAAGATCTGAAGAATTCTTGATTCAGAAGGATCGTCAGAACGATTAGAGGCTGTTGGTCTGAGCCTCCTGCTGCTTTGCTGTTATCAGTTCACGCTGGTGCGTGAGGTCTTCTCAGATATCTTACAGATGAATCAGACGCAAAACACACATCCTCTGTGTTTTTTCATTTAGTAACACTAATTCCGCTCATTAAAACTTACGCAACTGAGAGCATCTAGTTTACTGGGAGTTTGAGACAGCCTCTTTAAAGATGCAATACTTTATAGTTTGAGGTTTAATGAGTACGAGTAACGCAAAAGAGGAGTTTCCTCGTAGAGACAAACTCGTTATCACCTGATCCGTTCCCTCAGCTCTGCATTGCAGTTTTCGCACCTTTCACCTCATTGCTTTGGTTTCCCAGCCCCAAACTTTGCCTGTTTTGACTCATTCTCAACAGCTGTTTAGAGAAACCCTGTCCACACTGGTGAACACAGTGGAGCATTTAGCAGCCAAAGAGCCAGATATTTTCCTCGGGAGCTGGTGGAGACCAAACACAGAGCTAACAGAGACTGAATACTGGACTTAATGCTGGCTGCACACCAAGACTGGGCTGATTGGGTCTGAGTCCCGATCTAAAACGGATTATCTGTAATGACTGGGGGATGACGGACAGAGGACCCAAAAGCACGCCTCAGAAACAGGAAGTAGATTAGAGGATCATAGTTTCCGTAACCTCTTCATCACCAGGCCTTATATTATATATTTGCTTGGGGGTGGAATATTATTTCACTTGGGCATCATTGGTTTTGATAAATTCACAGTTGTGTCAAGTAGTGTATCACATTAAAGTATTGACAGCTTTAAAAACCCGTCATTGTTCGAGATTGAGGTAGGAGTACCCCGGAAACGGGGAACCTCGGGATGAATCAGGTACACAAGTGTGGCAGGGAGGCTAACGCTAAGACAACGTCAGCAACTAAAGCAGAGTTAAAAAACCCAAAAGATCGAAGTTATGAATTAGAAATGCAGACATGAAAGTGGAAGGGGAGCCAGGGGCCGTATTACAGAAACTTCCTAACCGACAGATCCTATCCTAACTGCTTGGTAACCGTGGTAATAAGGGTTAGGAAATGATTTAGGAAAAAGGCCGTTACAGATTAACAGTTGCTAAGTCAAGATTCATTTCCTAACTTTAGATAAGAAAAATGTATTACAGAAAAAATCCTAAATAAACTCTCCTGACTGTTAAGCTGTCCTAACTTTTACTTTTCCACCAGGTAGTGTTTGCTAAGTTGTTTAATCCACATGGTTCTTTTACTGCTTTCACAAAATCAATGAAATGAAATGGAGATTTTGAATGTAACAGGCGCGAAACCGACGAATGTTGAATATTAAACTAATTATTAATTAACTTCACCCCGGTGATACGCGGCAGTGACTGTGTCCGCTGTTTTAGCCCACTCTCTGTCTTTCATCTCCCCGGATAGGCTAAGCGTTACGTGAATGTGGATTTCTCGACGAGGTTGCCAACACCTCTAAGTCATCTGACTTGAAGTTCAATGATAGTTGTTGTTTCTGACCCATTTTCAGTGTATGTTTCTTAAAATAAATGACAAGCGATTAAAAGCTGTTTAGCTTGGCGAGATGAGAAAAGAGTATTTAGGATTTCCTAACCTGAGATAAGATAGAATGAAGTAAGATTGGATTCCTAAAGTTAGCTAGGATTTTCTTCAGTAATACCAAATTGAGAAAAATCCTCTCTTAGACTCTTCCTGTCTTAACTTCAGACTTAAGATAGGAACTTTCTGTAATACGGCCCCTGGTGAACTAAATACTCTAGGATCCAACAAGAATCTAACAAGTAACAGGTGCAACTAATGAATGCAGGGCAGGACAGTTTCATAGGCGAGAATCAGACAGGGGATCAGGCAGAGAGCGAGGTGATCCGAAACGAGAGGAGCGTTGAGTGGCGCGGTAAAACCAGGACGAGTGGAAACATGAGCCTCAAAAACTTTACCAGGGAGGGATGTAGAGTGATGATAGTGTTGTGTAAGGGATTTAAAGACATAATCTTACCATAAGGAGGCTGTGGGTGATCAGCAGCCAACGAGAGCACGCTGTGTATTTGTTCGCTCTATAAAACGTATAAACCTGCTGATTCCCTTTTCCCAGCTAACGACGACAGTCTGCCTTTATCATCATTCATCAGGAGACTCAAACACGACTTTAAGAGAATAAAAATGTAGCTCCGTACCTGCTGGAGGTGCAGATAAGCAACATATGAACTTTTAAGGTGATAATATGTTGATTTTGTCTTCACAACTTGTTCCCGGTGCCCTCAAGTGGCCAAAAAAAGTAACGTAGTGTGTTTACAGGTAATAAAAGGTAAACATTAATCGTAGGTTGTGGACGCGACGTGGACTCTGGTCTCCTGCATGAAAGTTGGACTTGGTACCCAGAACACGCAGAGCTTATTACATTGGACAGTTCTGCACCTCCTGATTTATGTCCAGTGCCAATGTTCAGTACGAGCTGTGCGTGCTATGGGTAGCAGATCAACACCCCTGTGACAGATAACTGACAGCTTGTAATAATTGTATTGAGGGCTGTTTGAGTGGGAGACTGAATAAAAAACTGACAGGCTTCTCCAGCTTCATGTGGAAAACTGTCCTTGTCAGAGTGGATACGCTCTGGAGAGGTGATATTTGAAGACTGTCCAGCACAGACGAAATCCATCCCTCACACGGCCAAGTAATCGCACAATGAGTCCACCAGTCCTCTGTGCTGCGATGGATTTCTTCCTCACAGAGAGCCAGAATCATGTTCAGATCAGATGTAGTGTTGTTTATCTTGTTTTCTTCTTGACCCTGTGAAAGGAAGAGGAAGCTCTTCACTGCAGCCGAACCTGGACCACGAGAACCGATGCCATTAATCAACCTTTATTTTATTTTTTTAAATCTCAGAGGTGTCCCGAAACGACTCCTGTCCAGACCTGCCTGAGATCCAGAACGGCTGGAAGACGACATCCCACATTGCACTGGTGCGAGGGGCTCGTATCACCTACCAGTGTGACCCCGGTTATGACCTGGTGGGACGAGAGACCCTCACCTGCCAGTTAGACCTCACCTGGAGCTCCCAGCCCCCCTTCTGTGAAAAGAGTCAGTTCCACGTCTGCCTAAATGTGTGTGTGTGTGAGATTTGGTCCAGTTCATTAACTGGAACTGAATGCGAGCGAATATATGAATATATAAATAGCCACCAAATTCATTGAGCAAATGCACACTCCTTTCAGGATGAACTCTCCTCACAGGAGTTTTAAACTTTTAAAAGTAGAGTTGGTGTTCAGGTGTTTCATGTTAGAAACCCTTTTGATCGTTTCTATCTGGTTCTCTGTCATTAGCTGCTGTAACAACAGAGCCTACCCTCAGGGTTCAGACAATTATATCTATATATTAATGACCCATAATAAATAAACTAAGTGTAACCTTTGTATTTTTAAACCTGGGCCCTATTTGCACACATGTCGGTGTTGAAATGACTAGTAGGTACAGAAAGTTTTGAATCCGTGCAGTAGAATTCATTCAGTCAAAACGGCGTCCACAGAAAGAGCTTCTTGTTGCCAGCGACAGGCTCAGACTGTTACACCAGGTGTCCCAACGAGGGACTCCGGGTGACCCCCTTTGTTCTTAACAGGAAACTGGAGTCTCGCTCATAGACAGTTCTGTCTGAAACCTCGCGAGAGGCGAGTTGTTGCAGGAAGACGCCGGTGGAAACCGAAGACGAACTGCTAGCAAGACTTTATTTTCTAATGGTACTCCTACACAACAAACTCCTCTCTCCAACTCTGACTCACGTTTCCACAGGCGGTAATTCAGACGGCGCAATTGCCCCGAAGGAATACTTTGCAGCCACTGCAGCCGGTTAAGCTGCCGGCTGAAACATCTACTGCACAGATTATTTGTGTATCTAGTGATCATTTCAAAACCAACATGTGTGAAAATAGGTTTAAAAATTATTATCCTTTTTGTCGTGTCATGTATGTTGTGTGTTTGTCGGCTATTTTACTGACAAAATATTAAGTAGGTGATGTTATGAATGAGAAAATCTGAACGTATATATTTTTCTCAGTCATGTACTGTTCAGATCCCGGCCATGTGGATCACTCCACCAGGTCTCTGTCCGACCCTAAACTCCTGGTCGGGACGACCATTCAGTTCAGCTGCAACCCGGGCTTCATCCTGCAGGGCGGCGCCACCATTACCTGCTACGGCCGCGAGCCAGGGACCCCCGTGTGGACGTCTCGACTGCCTCACTGTGTTTGTGAGTATCAGAAAGTCTGTACGGTTTTGACTTGCAAAAAAGAAGACGACACATGAGAGTTAGTTGTTTTTACCGACCTGGAAAAGATAATAGTTATTTTATTTGCTATATCAAACCTGTGAGCGGAAAGAGTCCTGTGGTTTATGGGTAATTTGTCGGCCCTGTGATTTCAGAAACCTGTCATCAGGATAGACAGTTGCGCGCGGCAGTAAACTGAAGATGAGAGGCTTTTTCCCTGTGGCTGTGCGATCTAACATGAGTGGGTTTGTGTGATTTCTTGTATGAGAAAAAAACGCCTGGCTCTCTCTTTCCTCCGCTGACACAGATCACAGCGCCTCTGCATGCCAGACACGACGCTTCATCTGCTGCAGATAGTGTGTACGTGTGTTTTCAGGGATATTAATGTTTGTGTGAAGTGTTTGAAATGTAAATTCAATGCTAACGCACCGTACCAATCAGCCCTCAGCAACCTGGAGGAGGGGGTGGAGATTATCCATGAGTCATGTCACCTCAGCCAGAGCCTGTCAAATCTGTCAGTCGAGCTCTGACGCAAAACCTCTGATTCGTGGTGAGAAACTCAACAGGAGCCATCAAGCTTTCTTTTTTTCCTTCCTCCTTACATCTAGCTGAGGATTCTGTTTCCTGTGAAAACCCCGGCCTCCCTGACAACGGCTACCAGATCCTGTCCAAGAGGCTCTACCTGCCCGGCGAGTCACTCACCTTTGTCTGCTACCAAGGCTACGAGCTCATTGGAGAGGTTGCTATTAAATGCATCCTGGGAAACCCGTCGTTTTGGAGCGGCCCGCTTCCACTCTGCAGGGGTGAGACCTTTGCAGCCTTTTATTCTGATGAATTTGTGGAATGAAAAGCTCCCTTTGGATTTGTGCATGGACACAATACTCTTAAAAGAATTTTTTGCCCCATGCTTGTTGATACAGATTGATCATGCTCCTGCATGCTAATGACCGTTCGCTAAACCCCCTTCCCAAACGGCGATTGTCCAATCATAGCTCTAGGCACAAAGTTACAGCATTTAAAGAGTTTGAAGGGTCGGGTACGGGATGAATATAGTGTCATATTTTGAAACTGAAAAAAAAGGTTTGAAAGCTTTAAATCTAATAAAAGATAGTTTTGATAAATCTAATCTAATACCTGCAAACGTTTTGTAACTCTTTTCACACGTGTTACTGTTCTCCCGTTGTAGTAGTTTGTTTTCCAGGTTTGAAACCTTTTAAATGTTGATGAACTGGTGCAAATGTTTTGAAACGTTGACACTTCGAAAGGGCAAATCTTTAATTTGTTGTGACGTGGCTCAGAAGGTCACGACAAAAGGGAAACACACCGCGGTAAACGTTTAACAAAATATTTTTTATTTAAATCAAAATAAGCCAAATTAAGACTTGTTTCAAGGTAAAGGTGATAAAGTATGAGATATGAACATTAGTGGTTTCAGTCATGTCAGGGCAGGATGATGGATGCATGGAAAATGTGTGCAAGGGTGTTGTAATGTGCAAGAAACAATAAGAGCAACTAAAACAGCATGTCCAGAAACCAAGGCGGAGGTGGAGCCTGTGGAGGGAAACAGAGGGTCGTAAGTTAGCAGAGAGGTCTGTGACCTCAGCTCACAGCATCAGCACTACGAATGAGAGCGAGGCTTACAAATACTCTACAGGGCGTCACAATTTTTAAACTTTTGTGGATGTACATTTGCACTCATTTTGCAGATTCGGTCGAGTTCAGAGCCGACAAAACGTTGCAAAAACGTTTATTTATGACAGAAATGGTGGTGCCTCGATCACCCTGTTGTGTCTTCTTCTTCTATAAAATCCTCCTACTGACGTACAGATCTCTCCATGGACTTGCACCTCAGTACCTCACAGATCTACTCCATCCCTACACTCAGTCTGACAAGGACCTGCTCGCTGTCCCTAACTCCAGGCTCCGGACATTTGGTGACAGAGCTTTCTGTGTCGGTGCACCATCTCTCTGGAACAAGCTTCCTCCTGCCATCCGCTCTGCCTCCTCTATAATAACCTTTAAAACCCAGCTTAAAACACACCTCTTCACTGAGGCCTATGGGCTTTAATCTCCTCTGGTCTCACACCTCTCACCTCTGGAACCCAGCAAAACGCCTTCTTCGGGATTCGCCTGTCATTCATGCGGATAATGTGTCCGGCGAGCCTTAGGCAACGGCGTGCGACAATGACGCTTAACTTGGGCAGCTTGCCTCGTCTAAGGAACTCCTCGTTGGTTATGTGGTCGAAGTACCGTATCCTCAGTATCCGTAGAAGGCAGCGTTGGTGAAAGACGTCTCCTGCACTTCACTGCCTTTTTAATACCCCGACATAACACGTCGCTGCTGATTGGGTAACACCTCTGACACACCCACCAAATGAGAGAAAACACACCTCAAAGCCCGTTGCACACCGTATCACACCGGAAACTTGTCGTTCGACCCTGGATCAGAGTCTCCAGTATTGAAATTGAAATCCTGTAGTGTGAATCGAACACTGAGCAGATACAGAACAGTTTTAGTATAATAACTGTTATTGTATTGGGCTATATCTGCATGGATTTATTATAGCTTAATCCATTTATCTTTGTAGGGTGACATATTAGCACCAGTCCAAGGACAGAAGATGTAAAATCCCCTTCTGGCTAATTCTTGCACATTATACATTCATGTATGTATTATTAGTCTGCATTCTCCCTGCTCTTGAATCTGAAATAAATAAATCTATGGACATGAAACATAAAATAACTTATAAGAATCATTAATCATAAATAAAATAAATGTATCAGCAGCAGCACAGAAACAATTGTTCAGAAATCCACAGGATTCACACAAAAGTCTTTTTTAGGACTGAATGAATATGTGGCGTGTGAGAGCGGGGAGGGGGGATTAGCGAACGGTCAGTTCAAAGCAGCCTTGTTACAATACAAATGTTCCTATGCACTGACTGACAGAACGATGTCTTGCAGCCAACCATGACTGCTTTGGCAACCATGCTTTGGAAGGTGAGTCTCTCTGTGTGTGTTGGTGTGCTCTGATGCTGTGGGCTGAAAAGACCCACTGACAAAACCCTGAAACTAACCAAAGAAAATAAAAGCACCTCTCTTTGTCCGCTCTGCCTGCATCAGCAAACACCTGCCTGCTGAGGTCATGCCCACTGTCTGTTTGTCCATCCACATGTTTGTATTCATTTGTTTACCTGTAGCATCCACCTACCTTTGCTAAGCCACCCGTGACCAGACCTTTAGAGGTTTTATTTGTTCTCTTGATAACAGCATGCCTTCAATTAACCTTGTCTTATTCATGTGTCAGTTGCAGAGGCGACTGCAGGCTCCACTCTGGATGGAGGGAACATAGCGCTGGCTATCTTCATCCTCGTTTTTCTGCTGTCCGTGCTGCTCGGAGGGGCTTATGTCTACGTCACACGGTAAGGCTCACGTTCATCTGGCTGGACTACCAGCCATGCAAAGAGGGCAACTCCCTCTGGACTCCAGACGCAAAACCACTAGGGTCATGTTGTGGCAATAGGTTTGTGGTAAACAGTGTTGGGGTGGTTACTCAAAAAAGGTAATGGATTACACATTATTAGTTACTTTTTAAAAAATTATAAAGTAATGCCTTACTTTACTAGATTACTCACTGCTGAAAGTAACTAGTTACAGTACTTTTGGATTACTTCACTTGTGATGCACAATAACAATATATAGTTACACCTCATATCTGCTCAGATCAACACAAATCCTTATGATAATGAGAACATACACAGGATCTCTCTTTTATGCTCTTTAATACTACAAAGTGACAACAGAGTTGTGAACATCAGGACAACATTTGTTTGAAGAACAAGGCTACAGGACAGTACTATAATGCTTAGAACTTTATTTGGACATTTCATTGGAAACATTTATTTTTTAAATAATGAAGACTGTGATTCTTACTGCTGAGTTATTACAGCTTGTACAACAGTGTAAATCTGCTGTCCCCTCAAAATAAGAAATCACACAGCCGTTAATGTCTAAACCGCTGGCAACAAAAGTGAGGACACCCCTCACATTTTTGTAAATATTTGATTATATCTTTTCATGTGACAACACTGAAGAAATGACACTTTGCTACAGTAAAGTAGTGAGTGTGCAGCTTGTATAACAGTGTGAATTTGCTGTCCCCTCAAAATAACACATCACACAGCCGTTAATGTCTAAACCGCTGGCAACAAAAGTGAGGACACCCCTAAGTGAAAATGCCCAAATTGGGCCCAAAGTGTCAATATTTTGAGTGGCCACCATTATTTTCCAGCACTGCCTGAACCCTCTCGGACATGGAGTTCAGCAGAAGTCCTGTTCCACCAGCTCCATGACGACATCACGGAGCTGGTGGATGTTGGAGACCTTTGGGCCCAATTTGGACATTTTCACTTAGGGGTGTCCTCACTTTTGTTGCCAGCGGTTTAGACATTAACGGCTGTGTGATGTGTTATTTTGAGGGGACAGCAAATTTACACTGTTATACAAGCTTCACACTCACTACTTTACACTGTAGCAAAGTGTCATTTCTTCAGTGTCGTCACATGAAAAGATATAATCAGATATTTACAAAAATGTGAGGGGTGTCCTCACTTTTGTTGCCAGCGGTTTAGACATTAATGGCTGTGTGATGTGTTATTTTGAGGGGACAGCAAATTTACACTGTTATACAAGCTGCACACTCACTACTTTACTGTAGCAAAGTGTCATTTCTTCAGTGTTGTCACATGAAAAGATATAATCAGATATTTACAAAAATGTGAGGGATGTGCTCACTTTTGGGGGATACTGTAAAAGTAAGAAGTATAAATTCTCACTCTTAATGTTGTTCCTGTTTCCGTCACCCGGTCCATTAGGTGCCGATATCACTCCAACTTAAGGCTTCCTCTTATCTACCCCCACCCTTACCGACAGATCACTGTGGAGACAGAGTTTGACAACCCGCTCTATGAGACAGGAGGGGTGAGTGTCCGGTACATTTAAAGAGTGAAACAGTACATTGAGCGGCTAACTGTCCATAAACCCTCTTCCATCTTCTCTGTCAAACAGGACACTCGTGAATATGAAGTATCGATATGAGAAAACATTTCTGAACCGAGACCGACCGCCCCGTCCCGAACTCTTCATCCTCTCCTCCCTCCTTCTCCGCCCAGGAGGAGGCGATGTAAATACAAATAGATGATGTCCAGCCCCCTTCCGGCATGAGACGCAGTGACTGATCCTGTTCTCTCCTCCTTTTGACGTGACAGCTTCTGAGGACATGATGGGAAATAGGAGAGGAGATGAGACGAGTCAGTGTGTGGATCAGAGATAAAGGGAGATGGAGGACGGACGGGAAAGACCCAAAGATCACCTAAGAACGCCGGACTATGGTGAGGAAAGAGGAGATGGTGGGTGGGAAGTGTGAAAACAGAAGTTAAGGAGGGGAGAAGGGGAAGGAGTCGGGGACAGGACACAGTATGAGGAGAGTTATAATCCTTAAGATTTTCATGAAATCAAACTTAACTTTTTATACTATTCATGATCGGATTCATTTCTGCAATTTAAATCTGCTATTCAATGAATTTACATTCAGTCATTACCTCTTTATATAGTAGTTGTCATTGTTAGTGGCAGAGTCGGCTGTTACAACAGGCACGAGGGATTCACAGGAGACGAGGCAGCATGTAATCCAGCGTTACTGTTTTAAGTTTCATTGCCTCACTGTTTACCGTTCACTCAGTGCTGTGTTAGGCAACATTTTCTACAGCTGCTGCTTTACATTAAAAGGCAAAACGAGACACGGGGCAGCGTCACAGCAGTCGGCCCAGTTTTAAATATTTTAGGGAGTGAGCTGTTAGATGAAGAGCGACAGGGCTGCACACCTAGACGTTTCTCAGCAAGGGCATGATGGACAGTTGGAGGCAGATTATTAACTGATTTATTTTAGCATTTGTTTGTCTACACTGTAATCAGATGCACCAGAATTGACCCTTCGCTAAGCCACGCCCCAAACACAGCGCAGTATAGGACTCGCTCTAACTGAGGTCCGACACTTTCATGGCTGCGCTCCATTGACTCTAATGCAAAAAGAGTCGTTTTTCTAACTTTCATTTGCTGTATTTTTCAAAGATCTGGTCAAACGCTGTTCCTGGGAGGCTGAAAGGAGGAAGTGCGATTTATTCTCTTTCCAAAACCTAAAATTAATCCAGAAAAGTGTCGGCTGTGGATTGTCCCTAATGTAATGTTAGTTAGCTAACGCTACCTAACGTCCTACTGCACGTAATAATGCCCTACTGTTCTGCTTTTTAATGATTGTAATAGTGAATAGAGGCCTTCCCAGCTCTATAGCAGAATTTTTGCCTTGTGTAACTCGTGCAAATAAACACAACCCGCGAATATTCCCCTTAATCTGGTTTACTACAGCGGTAAGAACCCAAAATGAACATTTTTTCTGTGATATCATTGCAATAAACGTATCAAAGCGATGCTGAAATACCGTGTTAGTGCGAATATAAGACGACCCTCATTGTAAAATCTAAAGATGTTTTTATAAAGAAAATAATTTTGTTTGAAAATGATTCTAATAAAAACACATTGAAAATAAAATAAAACAAGGGAGGTTGTTGTTTTTAACATCTTTTAAATAAAATAACTTTTTTCTATATCTTTTTAAATGAAACGGTCACATTTAAATTACTGCTAAATAGAATGTAAAATGTTATTTAAATGTGACCGTTTCATTTAAAAAGATATTCAAAAAGATATTTTATTTAAAAGATGTTAAAAACAAAACAACCTACCTTGGCATCATAACTCCTCCTCAGATGTTGGTTAACTTGACCGTTAAGCTAGCTAGCAGCAGACACCAATCGTGAGTCTCGACAGACACTCCAGTTCCTTCTCTGCTGCTTTTTTCTTTTCGACTCTGCACATTTATGTTTCAGATTCATGAAGCTCCCGGGATCACATGCTCGCCAGTGTTTCTCCCGCCGCTCGGCGCAAAGGCTTTACACTGTGATCACGTCACGCACAATTGCTTTTCTAGGCTCTGAGAAAGTTTTAAAAAAATATATAAACTCCATGGATTAAATAATATAAAGAGTTATAATTGAGCTTGATTGCAGTTGCAGGTGTCCTGTCTCTTTTTATACTGGAGCTATATCAGACGGCGGGCCAACGGGAGATTTTGTGTATTTAAACGATCCCCATTGAGGGAGGATCCAGTTTTTTGCTAAATACTTCTACAGTTTTCAACAAATGAAACAAATTTTGTTGCCACTCGTACTTTCGCACATTTGCTATTTATCGGTAACTTTGTCCAAGTTAGATTTTCCAGCAATAGGAGCAGGCCGCTATGTTTGGGGCCCAACGCACATGACGTATTTGCAGTAATCATCCAATAGCGTGCTTGGAAAAGTGCCAGATAGACAGAAATAACCGGAAATAAATAACGCCCCAAAGCGAGTTAACTGTAGGTTAAATACCTCAATAAATCATCAATAAATCAACAAGGGAACTCACGCTGACACGTGTATATAGTTTATATTATTATTATTGAACATTTCTATGTGAACAAAGCTAAAAAAACACAAGATTAATGTTGTAATCACAGACTATAAACATTTCGTATTCAGCATTTTTTGTGTTGCACAGTAGCTTCATTGTACTTGTTGCCTGTTGTGACATCTTGGATCTGGCGACTTTAAAATCACATATTCCCTGAAACTGCAGAAACAGCTAGAGGATAGGTTAATGACATCTCTCCGTCACCATCAAGCGGGAAGCTTCGGGTCAGAGATCTGATGCGAACACAGAAGTCCCTGAAACCTGCATTCAAACTTGCGGCTTCAAAACGGCAGTCCACAAACCAACGGGTGACGTCATGATGACTACGTCCATTTCTTATATACAGTCTATGGTCAGTATCTTATTGGTTCCACTACTACAGCAGGCTGCCGCGTTAAAACTTTAAACTATGATTTATGGAAAATGTGCAAGAATTTCAAGTGGCAACAAGCAGAATCTGATTAAGAATAAAATAATCTCCACAACTTTAAAAATCTGGGTCCTCCCTCGACGGGGATCATTATTTTCTAAAACTAAAGCAGTCACGCGGCCTACGTCCGCCGCCTAGAGGGGGAAAACGATTTTTCTGTTGTTGGCGAGCGGTCACTAGGACAAAGATCGGTATCAGATCTACTAATACATCCGTGGTCTGAACACACCACTGTTACCTCTGTAAACACGTGTCGCACAATCACCTGGGACTAAAATCTTAAGGATTACAACATTGGAAGCATCTTGGGGATGGTGGATTTTGTTTACATCCACACTCATGCGGCACCATCTCTTGCCACAAATTGATAATAACAGCACGTAAATAATGGTCAGCGGCTTCCCTTTTCTTCCTTTCTTAGTAAGTCCGACACAGGATGTCAGCTGTCTCCTGTCCCCGAACACCCTCCTGCCGGCAGTCACCTTCAAGGCTTTTAACTCCAGCCAGTCCGGTTCTGGCTTTAGCTGTAGTTCAGTGGTATTTAAATCTATGACTTCAGGGCCAGTGCAGTACCGATGTCTTATTTCTCACACGTACTGTAGTTAGATTGATAACTGTCGTAGACCGGCCCCGGAGTCCCCCAGGTCCGGACCGGCTGCTGATTAAAAAGGAAAACATGCATTGTTGCAGATGTGGAGGCTGCAGTGTGAATAGCGTAGCTGTAGTTAACTGACCGATCTTCGAGTGCAAGCTCAATCAACCCCACCAGATGATGTATTTATTTTGATGTACTGTATATGTGATGTTTTATGCAGATTGATAAATGTACATTTTCATTATGAGAAGACAAACGTTAACAGTTTCCCTAAATAAATGGTAAAACTTGAATAAAAAGTACAAAATACTTTGTAAATGTTGAGAATTTCCGTCTAATTATTTGGCATCATCATGTTTTTTTCAGGGTCCATATGTGGATAAATACACACCACATGGGGAAGATGAATATTATACCGAAAACCATGTTACTTTTAAATCTGTCGGTGGTTTGTTCATGGCTCTTTCCAACATCTTAGCAGAAAAATGTAGACAGTACTTACAATACTTGTTTATACTTGAATCACTTGAATGTCATTTTAGCAGAGGATTTTCTGAGAGCATTTAGTTATTTGAGTATAAACTATTTATGTGCAGTTAATGGAACAAAAGAGTGGAATAATCAGCCCTGTCTTCTAGAAATTATGTTTATAAAGTTCTACATAGTTTTCCCAATTACTGCCTGGGTTAAGTTTTGTGGCAACATTTTTTTGACGTGAATGGAACATTTATACCACAGAGAGGCTCCACATCCATCTGTGGTTTAATTTAGACAACAAAGCAATTTGGTTTTGGGTAAATGTTAATACACATGTTGTGTCTCAAGTCACTGCAGACTTTTTAAAACCAGTTCAAGGTCTTTCTATAATCTTAATCAAGGTTATTACATTAATAATTTCCTAATTTTGTTAAAAGAATCATGTTTCCTTTAACACACATTTGCTGTTGCAGATTAGTTTTATTTAAAGCTGATTTGCAACAGAAAGGGTTGAAATGATCTAAGCGTCCGAAGCTTTGTGTTGTGTGAGGTTTGTAATTGAGCCTTGCTCACAAGTCCTTGATTTTTGTACCGTAACCCAGCTGAATCTGTTGAACCTTTAGACCAGTAGTTCCCGACCTTTTTGGATTCTGATCCCTTCAAATGAAAATGCTTCAGGGATCACAATCCTGTGTGAGTTTTAGTCCTCTGCACCCGCAAAAAAAAGGCTTGAAACACTGCAGTTTATTTAAATAGACAAATTAAAGGGAGCATTCAACAGTGTTGCAACCAAGTGGGAACCTCCGGTGCTTAAACCTGCATTATCTCTAACGGCCAGCAGGGGGCGACTCCTCTGGCTGCAGAAAGAAGTGTGATTGTAAATGTTTCTACTTCTCAGCTGATTTATTCCCTCAGTAAACACTTTCCTGATGAGTTTCTGGTCTCAGTCGCTAGTTTCAAGTCTTCTTCAACACAGCATGATGTTCATTTAGTAAATTATGGTCCCATTTAGAGGAACATAGACCAGACAGAGGGGAGGCTCTATGGCGGGGCTAGCTTGTGATTGACAAGTCGCCACCATGGCAACGTGTATCTGCTGCACTATCCACGTATTAGGAGTTGGCTGTTCATTTTTCCGGTAAGTACATTTTGTTTGTCGCTAGCCAAAATTAGCATACCGGTTAATATCACAGTCACCGTGAATTACAGATGCACCTTTGCTAACCAAGTTAGCTAGCGCTAACCAAGATGGCGACAGCCAAAACGCTTCAAAACGCTGGTCCACAAACCATAACGATGTCACTGTGGCTACGTCCACTTCTTTTCTACCGTCTGTGATTGCAAGTCATTTGGAGATTACATTTACAGTGTTTTGGACTCCTGGAAAAGAAAGACGTGTTTTGCCCAGTGATCCCTTAAAACGAAGCTATGCCTACTTGTGACATTTTGTCGCCAGCTGATGTGTCTATAAGTTATGATAAATTTAAACAGAGGGATTTTGTTACGTTTGTTTTATTCTAATAATTTGAGGCGAAATTATCCATTAATTCACACGAAAAATACTAAATATTTGCGACCACTTGGGAGGTCCCGACCCCCAGGTTGGGAAACACTGCTTTAGATTCCAACATCACCGACATTAAAGGATTTTAATCTACTTAATAGTCATGAAACGTTTCTTTGAAGTCGGAAGTTCTCAGTTTCACCACCAGCAGTTTTGGTTTCCATTCAGTTTGACAAGTAACTTTTTTCTGGCTGTTGTCTCGCAAATATTCCCTGATGGGTGGAAGGCAAATCCTGCCCCGCAGCATTTCCCTACCGCCAGCCCATGTTAATGTCCTAATGATTCCTTCTGTTGCCATCGTGAATGCTAATAAGAAGATAATGTTTCCTGCCACGATAGCAATTTCAAGAGGCCTTCCTGCTGCGGTTAATTCAACTGTTGAGGAGCTTTTAACCAGATGCTTGACGATATTAGGCACTCTGAGGAAATTGAATGCTACCCACATGAGTTTAATGAACCAAAAGACATTCACAGAGCCAGAAATACATTACATTAACGTCTGCATGTAAGGCATTTAGTAAGTTGGTGCTTTTATCCAGAGAGACTCGCAAAGAGTGCAGCAACACAAGGAGATCATTAATATTACAAGCAGCTAATAGCGTGGGTCAGACCACCACTGAGTGCTGTCATTGATTAATTGATGTATTTTACCATCTTAATATCTAAATGTAAGTATGGATTATTAGGATTCTGTTCCTGTATACTCCATTGCATTTAAGACAATGAGATGGTGGCTAAACAAAGGCATGAATAATTTATGTCTGTCAGTGTCAATGTATTTGATACTACTATATCAGCAGAGCAATGACCTAAGCTAATGCACATCTGAGTAATGGAGAGGTATATTTGGCTAAAATGTTATGACTTTATTCTCATTAAATGTGTTAGTCTTGTACTATAATGACTTTTTTCTCAAAGTGTCAGAGAACACAGATATGTGGGAGAGATTCTGAATGTGCAGAAAGTTTTGAACATTTGAACACGGGAGCTATTAAAGTCCTGAAGTTTATTAAAATAAATGTATCCACATTTAAAACCGTCACTTCAATCGGTTATGCCTGCTTGCAGCAGGGATGAAATTAAATGAGAAAAATTGTTCTACAGGTGTATAGAAGCATGACACGATGGTTTCAGGTCTAAAATGCACAATGTCTCATCGTTTCGCTGATGTATAAGAATACGATGTAAAATTACAGTAAAAGATCTGGCTCAACTCCCCCCCCAGGTCTTTTGGCTAGAATTACCTCATCCCTGCCATTTTAACAAATTTGTGTCGTCCAGCAGTTTAAAGGTAACGTCACGCTAACAGTATGGCCTCATGTTGTAGTTTCCTAAAGCACCAAACACATGCGTAAGATTTTCTCAAACCTGTCTGTAAATGTTCACACACAAGAATCCTTGAACATAAAAAAAAATCACTTCGATCGGCAAAAAAATGTTTTTTGATCTCAAATATGCTCATGATTTATTCCACAGGCCTCTCTCCATCACATGGTGTGAGTAAAATGGTTGACTCAAAAATGTGTGGTCATATAACCAATTTAGTCTGTGGTTGATGTTGTTATTTCCTCATTTTTATCATGCGATTATTGCCTTTGCACTATAAAGTCTGTTTAATTGCTTATTTATAAATGAGCCGCTATGTCTAACGGTTTGTATGTCATTCTGTATTTAGATACTGATATCAGCGATACCAAATCTCACGCCAAACTAAATTGAAAAGTTGGCAACCCTTTTAAAATGCTGCTCTAACATTGAGGCATCAGTATTAAAAATCTAATAATCTGATTTCAGTCACAGGAGGCTTTTTACTGCACAACCAGTACTTTTATTACTTTACTACATTTTGCTTATAATACTTCTATACTTTTACTTGGGTGGAGTTTTAAATGCAGGACTTTAACTTGGAGTATCTTTACATTGTTCTACACAGAGCTATTTTTACTTACGCTTGGCAAAGACTGGCTGTATATAACTTCCTGGGAGTGTCAGTGTAGTGGTCTCTGCGTGCAGCCTGTGGTGGTTAAAGGTAAAACCAAGCACGAAGACGTGTGATTTGAAACAGGCCTCGTTGCTAACAGCCTCTGGAAAAGTCTCTGTGATGAGAAGGGTTAAATGATGGAGAGCTGCCGAGTTTGAGCTGCACAACTGCCAAGGCGGATAAACAGAACCGGCTGACTCAAGCCTCAGGAGATGGTATCGAGCCGAGTTACACACAAACACATTCACAGGCTTAACAAACTGGATACTAAACTCAAAACAGCTGAGTTTTAATGGTAAACTCCTACAGGCAATACACAAACATGTGAAACAATACTTCTGTGTGTGCAGGTATAAAATGTGGCTCGAAAAAAGCCCCAAATTAAATATGACATTTAGAAAATACTTATTTTTCTTAAGGGTATGAACATTAAATTGACAAGCAGCTCATTTTCTAAAACAGTCGGACTCCAAGGCAAGAGAATCTGCACTTCAGACAAAATGCTGTGTTAGTGATTATCTGAAATCAAAAGAAACAGTCAGCAGAGCGTACTCCTCTACCAGAGCATAATAATCTCCTCAGTTCCTCATTAGCTTTACAGACAGTGTCGTATTGGTTAATGACAGAATGGTAATGAAGGGAGGCACTAAGGTAAAGGTCATAGAGTAACTAAAATCAATAGGTTTCCTTCTGTTGTGTCAATTTAGGAATAAACACTCATAACATCCTGTTTGTTTGACAATATAAAGGCATGACGGTGGTGCTGGGGGAAAGGTCACAGGGTCACTAAAGTCTATATGTTCTTTTCTCTTGTGGTTATGAAAATGCAAACCAAAATACACATTAACTTGGCAAGTTGTGTTCAGGAGACACTGGTCTTAGTAAAAACAAAGAAACACGTAGTGGTCTTCACATTTCCTCGACTCTTGCTGGAGGTTATTACGAGCCAAGAATCAGGGACAGGGGCAATAATGATAAATATATCTACAGTATTTTAATGTAGGTTGACAGAACTTTACATGTTCAGTGAGGCTTGGTTTCAAGGAGTCACAGCGTAAAACTCACAATATAACAGAGGTGGCGTCATTGTTTTACAAGTCACAAGTAAGTCTTAGCACCCAAGTGAAGTTTGTACGAACATGATGTATTTGTGAAACATGTTTTTGTTAATGTCAGATGTATTTATAGTTGTGAAAAAAGGTTATTTTTAAGATCTGTAGTGTTTATTTGTGCTAAGAGTGGTGTAATATTACTACATACTTGTTTGAATAGTTCCATATCGACCGAAAAACACTG